TGAGAAAGGCGCCTATAGGTCTGGGGAGGAGAGAGGAGGGAGGAGGTAGGAGAGAGTAAGGGAGGAGGGAGGAGAGCGGCAGGTCAGGGGTGACCGGCGGTGGTCAGAGCCGTGCCGTGCCAACCCCGCTCACCCTCCGACCCGACGGTAACGCTCGGGGAAACCGAACAGCTGACCTCAGACCACTCAGTTCGGGTCAGCGTCAGGTCATGATAAGCCGGCGGAACAGACAGGCGGACAGATCGGGGAAAACGGACAGCTGATCTCCGACCACTCAGTTCAGGTCAGCGCTAGGTCATGATAAGCTCGGCGGAACAGACAAGCGGCTGGCGGACAGACAGGCGCAGTGAATAGGGGCGTGCCCAGCTCAGCCGTTGGTAATTATGGAGTAAAACATGAAGCACGTACTGGGTATCCTCATGGTTGGCAGTCTGTTCTGTGAACTGACTATCGACTATCGCGTTATGGAGCGGTGCGGGTCAGAACTGCCTGGCACGATGGGCGGTGCGGGCCCTAGGGTTTCTATCGTGCGGGAATGGGCACTGACGCAGCTTGCATGCGAAATGGGTAGGTACCGGAGTCGGCCGAATAATACAGTCACTTTCCTTAGAATCCGAGTATAATAGTTACGTGCATCGTGGAGGCCGGTTCACCGCAGCAACTTCCCAAGTTTTCGTCTCCACGCCATTCAATTAATATAAGAAACCTCTTTAATGCAATCAACGTTAAATGTGATCAACCAAGAACATAATATGATCATTCTTGGACGTCTCACCCTCCCGAGGCAGCACACTGACCCTCTTCTCTTCCCCTTCTCTCCCTCAGATGACGAGGGCTCCGTCGTGCACGGCGTCATCGGCACCGACGGTCTGTTCGACGGCAGTGTGGTCACCGCCTCGGAGCACTATTTCATCGAGCCGGCCAGCCGTTACCTACCCTCGGACCGTGCGGTGTCCCACTCACTCGTCTACAAACTCTCGGACGTGGTGCAGCCCGAGCAGCACGGCCGTGGCTGCTCGGCGCACGCCCACACACCCCGGAACGACTCGATCGTGGACGAGTGGCTCGGTCACGAACAGCTCTATGAAAACGTCACGGGGCCGGCAGCCGAGGCAGCCGATGGAGGTGGAGGGCGCCACAGAAGACGGGCCGTCAACAACAAGAAGACTACGTGCACCATGTATCTGCAGGCGGACCACCTGTTCTATGAGCAGTTCGGCAGTGAGGAGGCCTGCATTGACGCCATGATCCGACACGTACAGCAGGCTAACGAGATCTACCGATCCGCCGGTGAGTGCATCTCCAATTGTATGTTGCTATAATGTTTTAGGTGTTTGTGTGTGAGCAGTGACGTGGCTCGGTGACTCACGGGTTCCAGACGTCTAAAAAATGGGTTGCCGTCACCGAGAGGCAGTCCCTAAAAGAGCGAAGCAGCTGATTGCTATGCAGTCGGGCAGCCACGCAAGCATGCTGTTGACGCAAGTCTTGTGACGCACCTTCACCCGAATTGCTAATTGAGTGGCACGTTAAGACATTGTAGTTCAACATGCATGATTTATAAGGATTAGCCGGAGCTAGTCGGTTGCTGCGGCACTAATTGTTTCCCAATCAGTCCAGGGCTCAGTTATCGCCCGGTCCAGCTGCGTGCCTTTCGGCTGTATGTGTAAGGTAGGTGCAGATGAATCCAGCAATGGAGAGGTGAATCTACACAGGTGCATCTAGCAGTGGAGAGGCGATAGTCAGTGATGTCGAAATGTTTAGCTTCTGTCGCACGGTTCTTACACGATCATACTCCGACAGATTTCGATATGGACGGCGTACAGGACAACATCGGCTTCATGGTCAAACGGGTAAGGGTGCACAAGCCTAGCGCAGTGAACGACGTCGGCTACCGCTTCCCAGGCAACTACGGCGTCGAAAAGTACCTGGAAAAGTTCTCAGGTAAGTTTGAAAGAGAGCTCTCCAGCAGTGACACAAGGTTCTGGACATCTCGGTTCGATGCAGAATATAAAACGATGTCGCTGCAGGGGCTTAAACTGTTGCAAGGCCTTGGTTTTTTATATGACACCGTCCTAAGCACCAGAATACCGTTTCAACCTTTATTTCGTAAAAGTTTCGTCTACCGATTGGTAATCATTTACACACTTTTTGTGAAATAACGTATCCTCTTATTGTTTCAACTCGGGTTTCCGGTTTTCAGCGTTCGCATGGCTCAATCCCAGGAGCGGCATGACCACTTCTTAGGGATGGTTTTGCAACTTTGCATGACAGCGCTGTTCACTGCATAAATAAGCCTTAGCACACGTGTATGTACCTACCATTCGAGTTGAGCAATAAGGACGGAATTATATTCCCATAGTAGGATGGGCTATGTAAAACAATCGGCGCCGCGTGTAGACAGTGCAGTGTACGGCCTTGAAAGGTGAACTGAGCGGCACATTATGCAGCTGATTATGTGTTCGTCACTGTTCGGTGCCAGATTTATCACTCGTTCTTTCGAGGTAATGTAAATGTCAAAAGGCTGTATCGGCTGAGTGGACACACGAAAACTTCTCATTCTCGCCCATTTCCTTAAAAGTGACGTAAAGCATTTTTTCACTGAAGTTGGCAGGCTTTCGTAAAAATCTACCATAAGTCTCATTTGGTAAGAGTACACCTATAGTTTGAATTGTGTTCACTTCACAGTCTTAGCTGTGAGGTATTCAACCAGCAGCAGGGCCTTTCGGCGTAAACTACTGCCTACAACAGGCGGTCGGCCTTTTAGGCCGCATCTCGTGTTACCGCTGCCGAGGTCGACTCCCTCTCTCACTCTGTCTCACTCTTCCCAGAGGAGAATTACGACTCGTTTTGCCTGGCGTACATGTTTACGTACCGAGACTTCGAGGGCGGCACCCTTGGCCTGGCGTGGACGGGCGACCTGAACCAGGCCGGTGGCGTCTGCGAGAAAAATGGGGTAAGTGGCCGACTACGACGACCTATAGAGAGGACCCAGGAGGGGCGATCACAGGAGGGGTCCATGGGAGATAGCTTAGGGAGGGAGCTATGAAAGGAGCTACGGCAAGGAGCCACGAGAGGGAGCTATACGAGAGGAGGCCATGGTAATAAGCTATGGATGGGAACGATATGAGCTATCCACGTAAGAGATCAGTGGTAATTAGCTACATAAGGGAGACACGGGAGGGACATACAGATAAATTGCATACGAGATAGACATGAAATAAAGCAATGAGAGGAAACTGCAGAGGCCACGGGATGAACCAACGGGATCCATGAACCCATAGCAACACATGATATTTCCGTAGTATCCAACCTACCATGGCCACCCGCCGCTACGATGCGACAGGAAAGTCGAGTTGACTAACAATGGCCGGACGCACCGACGGTTTACGCCGCTCGTGCAGGCTGCGGTTAGTTGGAGCCAGTCGGTACCGGCGATGGGGGTATAGGGGAGGGGAAGATGTGTTAGCTGAGAGGGGGACGCACCGTTGGATGTTGCGAGCCAGTATGAAAGTCGGCGAGTGATTCCACCGGCCAACGGTGTCGGCTTTAAGTGCGTCACAGCCTACCGTTCCCAATCATGCTGGTTCCACCCAGTTCCACCCATGGTGCTAAAACGTCTATGGGTGAGCGCACTTTCTTTGGAGAGTTACTGTCCATCCGCCCGTCTGACCTGGATAGTCCTTACGACAAAACTAAACCGACGAGCCAACCCGCCTCCCTGGAACCCGAGTCGACCTTTCCTCAAACCCTACTAATTGTCTGTGCAGCAAATGTTAGCGCGTTCCGCCGCGCCCCTGCCGAGCCCCGTTTGACATGGAGGGATCACGCGAGAGTGGGGCACAGGTAGCAGTGCTAGATAGTAAACCGGTGGTACAGTACTGCAGACACGCAGACGACATGACCCATTGGCAGGCATGTCCGGTCCTGCAGTGCTGTGCTGGCAGCCTCAGAGCCGTGTAAATGTATGTAGGTAAATATCTGCCGGTTTTATTCAGCAGCACTAATCATTGGGCCGTGAGAATGCACAGTTGCAATCGTCCTTGGGAATCCAATGACTTTTATTGGATAATTAAACGGTATTGAGTTTCGTCACTAAGACTTGTCCCTTTATATGTTTGTTTCAAACCACAAAATCAATCATCCAATTTGTAATTCCCAAGGGGATATTTGGCGTGTCATTTAGCAATAAACAAGCAATGAATCAGAAAGCGTTAGCACAGTCTTGCAAAATAACCGGTTATTTACAGCAAATGACCAGAGGGCTAGACAAACATGCCCAGCTCCTCACGTTTTACATTGAGGGTGCACGTTTAATCACCGTCCGTTTTATTTGTCTACAGCATTATCGTGGCAGCAAGAAGAGCCTGAACTCGGGCATCATCAGCATTCTCAACTACGGCAAGCGGGTGCCGCCGGCCGTCAGTCACGTCACGTTCGCTCACGAAGTGGGACACAACTTCGGCTCTCAGGTGAGCGGACTGATTCCACTGAGCAGCCTTGTGTTTAGAAAGGGTATGCTCTCTGCTGCTTGTATTGGTAATCGTGGACATATGTAATCGCATATACGTTTAATGCGTGTAATCGCATGCATACGTTTAATGCTGCCCTCTTATTATGCTGTTCGATGCTACAATATGCACATAATTATTGGTCCGTTTAAACATAACGCATGATCAAATATCGTTAAAACGTTACTTCGGTGTATATGTATTTATGTGCCACACATTACGGTGCCAGTCCAAACGTTAGTTGTCTCCTGTCAACGCTCATCACTGTCTAGACCGATCTCGTCTGGTCGATGTGACCCTGACACCCAGTCCGTGTCACCTTCAGCATGACCCTGACAACAACAAGGAGTGCACGCCGGGCGGCATGGACGGCAACTACATCATGTACGCGCGCGCCACATCGGGCGACAAGCGCAACAACAACCGCTTCTCGCCGTGCAGCCTGCGTTCCATCAACCCGGTGCTGCGCGTCAAGGCGCGCTCCACTCACGGCTGCTTCGTCGGTGAGTTCTGGGGGAGGGCGGCGAGGCTTGGGACACGGGAGGAACTCAGTGAGTGCTAGGAGATCGAGGGTTGTCAGGAGTATTTCTGAAAATCGAAGAAGCTTAGTGAGCTTGAAATTCGGCTCAGGACCTCGAATAATGTTGGCAACGTGTAGGTAAACAGGATTCAAAATCACAAATAAGCTGCTGGAGGGACTAGGTTGTGCAGAAACTGAGGTGATTTCGCCGTCCTGAGAGCGGTAATACCAACTAGTGACGTTTATAAAACAGGCCTTGTTATTCGTAAAAACGTCGCGTGAGCTCTCACACACTTTCCTTGTTCTTTTCTTTGAAGAGTTGCGCTTAGAATTCGTATAACTTGCACGTTTCAAGGTTTTAGTAAAATTGATAATCGCATCATTATTTGTTGGCGTTACCGTAGGTATACGGATGTCACGCATGCATGTAGGTTAATGAAACGTGTAAGGTTGACCCGACCAGTACCAAAGCCGCAGACAACTATCTGAGGTAACGATGACCTGAACTGACCTGACCTGACCTATTGCAGAGCCCCAGGTATAAAGTACGGCGATAGTGACCTCAACTCACCTGACCTGACCTGTTGCAGAGCCCCAGGCGGCCATCTGCGGTAACGGCGTGGTGGAGGAGGGCGAGGAGTGTGACTGCGGCTGGGAGGAGGACTGCAGGGAGACCTGCTGTAACCCGATGAGCGCCACACCACCCAAGGGACGGCCGCCGTGTCAGCTGAGAGCCGGCGCCCGCTGCAGTCCCAGCCAGGTCAGTGGTTGACCTCAGCCAGGTCAGTGGTTGACCTCAGCCAGGTCAGTGGTTGACCTCAGCCAGGTCAGTGGCGGTCCCAGTCAGGTCAGTGGTTGACCCCAGCCAGGTCAGTGTCTGAACTCAGCCAGGTCAGTGGTTGACCCCAGCCAGGTCAGTGTCTGAACTCAGCCAGGTCAGTGTCTGAACTCAGCCAGGTCAGTGGTTGACCTCAGCCAGGTCAGTGATTGACCTCAGGTCAGTGGCGAGCGGCGGCCGCAGCCAGCAATCGTTTGACCTCAGCCAGGTCAGCAGGTCGACAGCTAAAGCCTAAACCTTGCCTGGTTTGATTCATACTTACTCGGTTCACCCCACTCATTATTTTCTTACGCCAAAAGCGTGTTATGCCCCAACTTCTCTGTAACTGCGACTGCCAGTAGCGATTAGACATTGACTTTCACCTGAACTCTCTATACCTGATCTACTCCTGTGACGTATGAGCTCATCTGTCCCCATTGTACTGACTGTCATATTGCACATTGCAGGGCCCGTGCTATAACGACACTTGGCCCCGGTGTACTGACTCTCTACCCCTCCACATCCCCCAGGGTCCATGCTGTAACGACACCTGTCCCCTGTGTACTGACTCTCTACCCCTCCACATCCCCCAGGGTCCGTGCTGTAACGACACCTGCGAGTTCGGGTACGGCCAGGAGTGTCGGAACGACAACGGCTGTCGCGCCAAGGCCCGCTGTAATGGCCGCTCCGCAGAGTGTCCGCCCTCTATCCGGAAACCGGACCGCACCATCTGCAACGAGGGAAACGTCTGCTTCAAAGGAGTGAGTTTCTCTCCGTGTGGGTCCTCAGAAGATCACGCATGATCTTGAGGCGACAGTGTGTTGTATGCTGATGTGCGAGCGCATGTCAGTGATGAAGTTTTCCGCCGATCGTTGGGCTGTTTGCATGGCGTCCGGGAAGTTCGGTAGTGGCCATGGACAGTCTCGAGCATAAAATGCGATATTCTGACTCACCCTCAACCACGAGTCCGTGAAGCGTGACTGTCTAAAATGATTAGTGATTTGGGTTGGTCTTTGACTGTCCATTTGATGGTCTGTGTGTATTGTGTATCATATATAGCCCGGCCCCGATCTGGCTCGAGTAGCAACCTGCCGCTGTCTCCCCTTCAGCTCTGTAACACTCGTCTGTGACTGTCCCAGGAATGTTCGGGCTCCATCTGCCTGGCATACGGCCTCGAGTCGTGTCAGTGTGAACCAGAGTACAGTGGCAACGGCACGAAATCCTGCGAGCTCTGCTGCAAGCGGCCCGGACCCGACCAGCCCTGCATGTGAGTTATCGCCGCAGTACCTACTCAGAGCATCTTGGTTCTGCCTTCTGAAACGTCGGCAACCTCTCAGCACAATGCTTGATCTTGAGATGATCTAATGACATGATCTAATGGCATGATAAGGACACTTGATTCATGATTCATAACAGTTGCGGAGCTGATTTTTCGTCTCTTGGCCCGTAAAAATGCGTTGAGATTTTGGGCTTTTAAGTTTTATACGCATCGCATCGTAGCCAAATCGGGTCTTATGTTGGGCTTGTTTGTCCTTGTTGCAAGGTGAACTGTTTTATATTGTAGCAGGGACCTAGCCAGTCCTTCAAGACCGTTCAAGGTCCAAACGCATTCTGTTTGTTGAGTCCGCCCGGGCCTCTCACCGTCTGACTCATTCCAAACCCGTGCCACTCAGTACAATCACAGTGATGCTGCAGCCCCCTCCCCACTCCCCCGGAGGCCGGTCTGCGGTCAAAACTGGCCGGCAGACCGGTCCGCTGAGGCCACCACCACCACACAGTGCAGTGGTCGGTCAGCCAGGTGGATGTGAGGAAAATCCGCCACTGAGCCCGGCCTGGCCCGTGCCCGCCTAACCTACACCGTGGTCTCTGCCCCGACTGTTCCCTCTAAACATGTGTACATAACATATAGAATGATTGTACCGCAAAACGAACTAGCAAATGTTCGACAGAAAGACAGTCAGAACTCTGATTGTTCGCTGATGGTCAATGACTTAGACACGAGTCCTAAACTGCACTTCCTCCACTCCTCATTTCCCTGCCTGTGTTAGCTGCGTTTCTTCCTTGTCCACCACCCCAGGAGCACGCCCAATGACCAAGCACTGTTCTGACCCGTACCGCTCTGACTATGTACTCCTATCCGGCAGTTCGTCGTTCGAGTGGAACTCTGCTCCGTTCGATATTCCTGACCAGTTCAGCAAGCCGGGCACGCCGTGCAACCAGTACACCGGCTACTGTGATGTCTTCCAGATGTGCAGAGAGGTCAGTATAGGAAGATCGATGGGCCACATAGTTGCCAGACCTTAGGCTATCTGTGACGTATTGCAGTCAGGTCAGGTCAGAGAGATCAGTATGGAGACAAAGAGGTCAGAGGGGGCATATAGAGGTCAGTGCCAGGTTTCGAATGTTTATAAGGACGCACAGAGAGGTAAAGGAGAGCTGGCGAAGGTCAGTATGCGTAGGTGGGGGAGGAGAGGGGGCGGAGTCATCAGTTGGGACGGAGTACGTTTACATAAACGTACACATGGCATAACCTCTTACCGTTGGCCAGTGGGCACGGATCAGTGGATGTGGAGATTATTGGTAATAGCACTATAACTCGATGCCAACATAAGTTAACAGTTATTTTTCCATACAACCGTGTCATTGACCGGTTATGCACCTCGCCTTGCGTTTGACCCGTCCGACCGTTTTCTCAGGTGGACCCGATCGGGCCTCTGGCCACGCTCAAGAACCTGTTCCTCTCTGACAAGAGCCTGTCTGTGGTGAAAGAGTTCATGGACCGCTACTGGTACATGATCGTGCTCTGTCTCATCATAGTCATTCTGTCACTGGTGAGTCATGATCGATTTCGAAATGTAACATTTTTAGCGGAGAAAAGGCTTCCATAGGGAAGTCGTGACTGTTAAACTGTACCATCACAGTTAAAATATTCTGCTTTCAAGACGCTCGTTTGGTAAAAGATGAATCATTTTGCGGTTCTGAGTACTGCTGGCATTTACCGCTAAGTGCTTTGTATAAGCTTGCAATCTCGCACCTATGCACTATAGGCCGACAGCCTGAAAAAGCGCTAGAAATTCCCCCAAACTGACTGTCCGCAATATGAACAAAATAGGTATCATTTAATCCCAAATTGATCGAAGAATACGATTACGATGCTAGTTTTGCCCTAAGGTCAAAATTGAGGTCGTCAGTTGTCACCAAACACAAGACAATTTAGGCTCTCTATAGGCCACCACATTTACCGATTTTAATGATGAACTTTAGTGGTAATTTATTAGTTGACCAATCGTCGTTTTGAACGAAATTTCCTGTCAGACTAGTTCAGGGCACTGTTGTTCACTGTGCCAACATCATTCTGACATATTGCATCGCTTTTCTGCAAGATAAGCTAGCTGTTTGCAGGCAGCTGCAAGACGTAATTTAAAATCATATCCAATTTTTTAATTAGACTTTTATAAAAACGTTATTTCGAGCGGCTAAAAATGAACATTTCATACTAGCCTCTGATTACTCATCTTTTGTTCCATATAGGTGCTTTGCTGCTTTTCCCTGCTACTTTTCGAGATATGCGCCAGTAAACCACATGATGCAGGGGCAATTGTCACCTCGCCGCTCTACTGAAGGCCCGGCGCTCTTTAAAACGCTGGAAGTTGTGAAAAACAAACGCTTATAATCTAAATGAAATATATGTCCCTGAGCTCAGAATTGATCAACGCACACAATGCTGTCAACATTTCTGGGCCAAACTCAAAAATTCAGTCATTATTAACCCCTAAACACAAGTCAGTGATAATCAACAACAACTTGCTCTTTAGTTACACTTTTTGAGAAATGTTATTTCGAGCCGTTAAAAATGGCCATGCCATACAAACAACCAATCATCTTTCTGTCATGCCCTACTCGCAATTTTTGCTAATGCCTGCTACTCTTCGAGGTCACGTGACCTCACCATTAAAAGTGAATGGGGAAATAAGGAAACTGTTGTTTTTGCGCATGGAATGATTTCAAACTATCTCAAGCACACGGAATCGTGATTTCGTGCACTCCTTGCAAGATCCGATGCTTTACTTTTGCATTTTTGACCTTCCGTGACGTCATTTATGACGTCACACCGGTCATAGGAGTTTCTCGTCAATAACTCATGATCAAATTGAGCCAGCGACTCGGGAAAGCCACCAATGGACTCGGGAAGACCTCCCGAATCGAATGATATGCGATACGACCTCCTTCGATTAAGTTCGTGGCCTGATGGGCTCTGAACTGACCTTGACTCGAGGTCAATACCTTAAGTTGACCTCACCCGAACAAAAAGTATGCCATTCGACGCGCCTGAGCCAGGCGAACACGATGGTGCCAAAATCGCTGCTCTGCGGCCATTTTTTGCGAAATTATTTGCCAAAAACCAAACCCTACCTTGGGCTTTTTGACTTCACCTCAGAGGTTACCGGTTGACCTGGGACCTTAAAATCGGGTATCAATCGTTCCGCCTTGAAACGGCGCACACGCTTGTTTTTCCGCGAGGCTCTAGCTCCATTAGGGGCGAAACGGCAAAAAGGGGTCGTACCAACCCTCCCCCCTCGGCCGGCCGAGGGGGTGGGGGGTCCGACAATAGGTCCGGCGAGGGTTAAGCAACCCCACTTCGTTTTTAGCATGTTTGCTTGTCACTGAGATCAACAACTCAATCACAAATAATTTCTAGCACTTTTCCGGACCCCCGGCCCAGTGTGCTATGCTCGAGAGCATTGAACTGTTTGGAAGAACCATTCTTTGCGCCTCTAATTGTACTACTTATGTCAGCTTCGCTCTCAGGGAAATCAAGTCAAGCCATTGATATCAATTGATTTCGTTGACGCGTTCGTTTCGCTGTTACAGATTGCCGTGATCCGGATATTCGGCAAGTCTCCACCCAAGTATCACCGGCGTCACCGGCGGCGTAACAGTGCCGCCAAGAAGCGGCCCCGCGAGTCAGACGTGGAGAACCCTCCTCTGCCAGACGTGACGGCAGGGGCGGAGGCAGCGCCGGCGGCCACCGAGACAGCGGAGACGGAGCCAGTGGGATCAGAGCGCGGACGACAGCCGCTCAAACGACGAGTGGACGATGTGCGCCGAGCGGCCGCCAAGGCCCGCCGCGCAGCCAGCCATATGGCGCTGTCGTCTCGAGCTAGTGTGGCCAGCGGGGTAGCGCGGGTCACCCGCCGCGGTAAGAGAGACGGTAGCCGGCCCAGCGGCGAGCAACAGCGCAAACGGCGCCGCAATGATCAGAGCAAGTCGCGCGGCCGGCGCAGGGGACGCGAGCAGACTAAGGATGGTGTCAAGGTGATCAGCTACTCCAACAAGCCGGCTGAACTGGGCGTCACAGACACAAAGGCCGAGCCGCGTCTGAGCGGAGCCGCCGCCAAGAGCGCCGAGGCAGCAGCGTCAGCAGCGGCGGCGACCGCAACCGCGGAGCCGGACAAGCGCCAGTCGCTGCCGGCCGGGGTGACGCGCAGGAAGCCGACGGCACCGGCTGACGCCGAGAAGCGCCGATCACTACCCAAGCCGCCAGGAAGTCCACAGAAACCGGCGCGGCAGGAGAGCCCCAGCAAACAGCGGCGCTCGACGGCAGACGTGGCCCCGGCGCGTGGTGAGGAGAGGGAGCGGGGCCGGCGGCAGGCGCGTGACAGCGACCAGCGGCTGGGACGCTCCTCGTCCCACCGTCAGCGCAGTGCCAAACGGGACGACAAGAAACGCTCCCGCTCCATCAGTCCCACCAAACGACCGGCAAAGGACAGCCGGCAGACCACGAAACCAACCGCCGAGGATAACAAAGCCGACAAGAAGAAACGCTTCGGTCTGAAGCACGTCACTTCAGCCGATAACGTCATATCCGACTGGCTCGGCCGTAACGCTAAGAAGGACAACCACAAGCACAAGCACGGCGCCGAGCGCAGCCGTAAGAAGCCTATCGTACCGACAGCGCCGATGCACCCAAACGACCAGGTGCTGCAGTGGCTGCGGACTGCCTCCACGGAACCGAGCGGCGCTGACGTGCCCGACGGCCTGGCCTCGCCGCAGCCGAGCCGGCGCATGTCGCTCTCGTCCTCTCAGACGAGCGGCAGCATGCAGCGGCCGGCCGGCCGGCCCCGCTACGGACGCGTCATCTCGTGTGACGAGTCATCACTGGCTGGCCGGCGACAGTCGGCCAGTCCTGCACGGGATACCATCAGCTCGCTGGGAGCGGCCAGCCGGAGACGGGGCACCTCGCACTCCGAGCTGAGCCGCTCCCAACCGCCGCCCTCCGACGAGCGGCTCTCGTTCAGGGCTGTGCCTGAGGCAGTGTACGACCTGCCGCGCTCGGCAAGTCCGGAGCGAATCTACGATCTGCCGAGCGGCGGTAGTCCCGAACGGCAGCCGTCGCCGCCCGTCCTGGGTCGGCAGATGTCGGTGCCGGCGTTCGCGCAGTCGACGCGAAGCGGCTCGCCCGGACGCCGGCCGCCTGAGAGGAACATATCGGTACCGGCGGGGCTCCACGGTCACCACTCACCGGACCGGCCGCTGCCGGCGCCGCCTGCCGAGCCGCCCCTCACTGAGGTACTAGACGAGTGGACGTCAGCCGAGCCGCCCCTCACGGAGGTCCTGGACGAGTGGGCGCCGGCCGCGCCGTCCGAAACGGAGACGACCGACTGCAGCCTGCCGGCGACGGCGACCGACCACTGAACTGTGATAGTGAGAGCGTGAACGGGCCGCACGGCCGGCCCAGCTGTGATGCCAACTAGTTTTAACCAGTCGATAGCGGGCCCGGCGCGCGTCAGCCGGCCGGGGGACGGACAATGGGCATCGAACGCGCGCGGAGGGTACCCGCCCGGCGCGGGCGCGCGCATAGGGCGCCTCACCAGAGGGAGATCGGCAGAGGGTCTCAGAGAGAGGAACACACAGTCAGTGGGCGTACCAGTCACTGCGTTCCAGCAGAAGAGGGTGGTCATTAACACAATCTGCTCAGTGTCTTGTGACGTGCCTTGATTTGTATCTTCCTTATGATAACTTATGTGCCAATGAATGGTAACATGCAAGTACTACCAATAAATGTTATTCGTTTTAGTTTACTTGGTGATGTTGGTACCCTTCGGCTCTATGGTTGGCGGTTGGCTTAATTTTCATTAGACAGTCTGGCTTAATCTGAGTGAGAGCTGATAGGCGAATAATAGCATGGGGAACCAAATTTGCCAGATTCTACTAGGATTTATGAGCTAGTTACAAGGTAGTCGAAGCTACGAGCGAAGAGCTACTTGGTAGGTACTCACCTCTGGCTCAACGCCCATCCCAAATCGGACACAGCTGCTGGTCCCTGGCTCCCCAACAGTGAACGGAAACTCCAAACTCCGCGCAATGGTCGTACTGGTTATCTGTAGATAATTAAGAGGCGTTTCGAGTTAGAGGGATGAAATGACCGTCAACACCATTCTCAGTATCTGGGCTATATGCTGGGTAAAAGACTACAAGTCACATCGACTTTCTCAACTCTCAACACATCAGTACCTCGACCAAGCGCTGAATGCGCTGAGCGTTTTACATACGAGCAACTATTGCACGCTTATATTATTTCCTTTGACAGGTATCAGTTACACTTCTACACACACAGCACTGACCATAAACCCACAATACTGCGGTCACCGAATCACCTCCGGGCCCGGGCGGCCCTCGCTCGCACAATAAACGTCTCCAAAACAGCCCTCGGCGCGCGCGCACAGTCGGCCCGCGCGGAATGGACACCGGCGCAGATCTCTGTCCCGTGTCGGCTGACGTGAGCCCCCTCCGCGGCCACTACTGGGTCGGAGAGAACGGGTTGGCCCACATGATTCGCGACTGCATGCCACCGATGAGGGGGACGGTGTGGGCGACACACTCGTCCCAGCCGGGCCGCAGCCAGGCGCTCTCTCGGGTCTCCTTGCGGTGCTGCAGGTCGTTGTAACCTGTCGGCGGATAGGGGGGAGGGGGTCAGTACGGGGAAGAACTGGGTAGAGCAGGGCAGAGGAGGGAGGGGTAGATAAGATCAGGAAAGGGCACGCTAGATAAGGCCAGGGCAGCACAGGACAGATAATATAATGACAGCGCAGGGAATGACACGCCAGGACAGAACGAGGACGGAAGGGAGACAGGACCGGTCGGGGTAGGAAAGAGGACAGGTCGGGGTAGGACAGAGGACAGGCCAGGTGGGACAGCGGACAGGGCGAGGAAGACACGACAGGGTACAGCACGGCAGGGCAGGACTGGGTATAAAAGGTGGGGCGGGGCAGGTACCGTGCGCTTATGCGGCGTCCGCGTCACCGGTTCTAGTTTGCGCCAAACGCTGTCACAATAAGCAAAGCTTGGCGTTGTACCCAGGCAGAGCGGGAGCGGGGAGGGGGAGGGAGTTGACAGACGGGGTCGGCAGGGTGCAGCAGTTGACAAGTCGCGAGATCAGTGTTCGTTTTAAGGGATGACTCGACGCTCGTCTCGCTGTAAGTAAATCAGAAAATCAATGATAGACATTCCTGGAATGTCACAAACGCTGAACAAATTAGTAATCAAGCGCACTTCAAACTGTTAGCTTACATGCCTAAAACGAACGAACAACTAAATAAATATGAAGTATTCGACAATGCAGACGCTAAATCAAATGATCACAACTCCAAGCACGCACAAAGCGCGGATACCCATGGCTTCAACTCATCCTTCGGAGAGCGCACACTTCGATGAGTTGGCAGAGGGCATACCAACCCGTCACATACCTGTGTTGACACGGTGACCTGATTCTTGACGTGTCACCCGCGACATACAATACCCACCTCTGACAGATGAGCCAGCATTTAAAAATAGTCGAGAACGGAGTCATCAGGGACCCGTCTCTTGAATTCATCACCGACCTGGGCAGGTCGCTCGGCACCCATACCTGAATTATCTTCAATCGGCATCCATCAACAAGTCAGGAGAAAACGGCGTCCTTCGTATTACCTCTAAGTGGTGAGAAGGCGCCAAATAACGTGTGCTATGGCCGATGACCTTTATCAACATTCCACAAAACAAATGTATTATTCTAAGCACTACTCAGGCAAGTGGTGGCGATAACGGTGTCCTTTGCTGCATCACCTGTTTTACGTGCCTCTGGCCGCTGTGTAGTCACTAGTCACCCACTACCAATCCGATGACAGCAGTGCCATGTGACTGATAATCATTGATAGATGATCATGACCAGCTGTGTAACTTACCCGCCTGGCAAATTCGCCGACACTTATTATCAAGTCGGCGAAAACAGTGACCTATAACCATGAGCAGCTGCATTAGGTATATACCCGCCTACGTTTCCCCCAGCCGACACCCCTAGCGGGTCGGCAAGAGCGTTTTATGACTCATGACCTGCCAATTCGTTACCTACCTGACGGATCAGCCGATACCCATTAGCGGGTAGGCGAGAACGGCGTGGGCACGATGATGCGGCTCTGGAAGTTGGTGATGAGAGGCACCGTGTAGGCCACACACTCGTCCCAGCCCGGCTTGCGCCACGCCGTCTCACGGATCTCCTTACGGTGAGCCATCGAGTCATAGCCTGCGGCGGCCGCCGACAGGTGAGGTTAGTGTCGGCGGACGGCGGACAGGGGCACGAGGCGACCGACTACCCACACCAAGATGCAGAGAGGCACTCACAAATATAGACGGACGGAGGGAGGCACCGCGAGAGGACCCAAAGGCGCTGATATAATGTGTTAGGGTCAGGTCACGAGAAAAAATGTGAGATCGGGAATGGCAGAAATGTTTAACATAGCCATAATCGAATAAAAGACGATCAATAAATAATAATTCCAAAACTAGAATGGAAAACATTCAACTGCGCCATTCACACTTTTTGCGAACCAGGGCAACCGCAATATTCACAGCGTTACGAAGCAAGTCAGCATTGAAAGAGCTTTTTATTTAAATTATTAACCACGTGAAGTTAGTTCGTACAGCAGAGTCAGGGCTTGGGCTAGACTATATAGCAATCACGAATTTGGATCCAGCGATGTTTTGAACGGCATGTCAAGGCACCGTAATCCAAGGCCTTAGGGGGACGGGTGAAGGGAGGAGGCCAGGGACACCGACAGAGCGGGAACGGAGTCTCATTTGGAGGCCTTCATCTTGAAATGCATGGGATATTGGGATGTCTAACGATGTGCATTGTGCAAGAACGCATTTTGCTTTCGCAGCCAACAGGCAAAGCAGATCATAATTGAAAAGGAAAGTGTGAGGTTGTGGAATCAGAAAAAAAGACTAATACATACAAGAAAATGTAACGAACAAGAAACAAGCAGTTGAAATACATCAACAGAATGAAATCACGGACAAATGGCAAGGCCCCAAAGCATATCAGAGTGTAAAGAAACCACAATGGATCGCAGTGTTACTAACACATTTATCAAAAGCCACCAGACACGGGTGAATCAGATGCCTCAGAATGAATGGAATTACTGGTTAATATAAATATCGGGATTGTTTGGGTTCCTTATTAATTGGTGAGCTGAGTCGTAGTCAGCAAAAAAAAAAAAAAATCAGAGATAGAATGGCATTTTCAACGGACTGTATAAAAATATACGGGCATCAAATGGGTCACATGAATATTTACAGGTAAACAGTATGATTTACTCTTATGAAAATAATTCCGGTCGTTGGAATAAAGGCTGGACAGGCAATTCTACGGTAGCCGAACCGGGGAGAAGCCCCGGATTGGCCTCTGCACACACGCGTTCCCACGGCACACCCATGCTGGACCACCCTATACTCGGCGGCGGTACTTTGTACTCGGTACTCGGTACCCGGTACTTACACCACAAGTGATGTACGTTGTACAGCCGGCCGACCTGCGAGAAGAAGCCAGCGAACGCCTCGTCTCCCTCTCGGCGGAAGTGGATGGCGCGTGCCCAGTTGTTGCCCCACTCGATCATGGTGCCCGGCTTGAGCAGGTAGCTACGGATCTCGTACAGGTGCTTGCCGGACCGCGGCGCCGGCGCCGGCCAGAAGCTGAACGCCAACAGGTACTGCGAGTGGCGCGCGCGCAGTAGCGTGCCACGCTCCTTCACCAGCGCCGCCAGACTCTTGTCGTCGATGTGCGCGTTACGCGCGTCGTCGACGGCCTTGTAGCCGCCGTTGTACTTCCACAGGTGGATGCACTGGTCCTGGTCGCCCACGGTGACCTCCCAGCTGCCGACCAGCTCCTGGGCCAGCTGGCCGGCGGCCGTCCGCTCGGCCACCTCGCCGTGGTAGCGGCCGCTGTCGGCGGCGGACGGGGACGGTCAGGGAAGTTCCGGGGGTGAGCAGAGACCGGGGGCCAGAGAGGACCGGGAGGGAGAGCGGAGACCGGGGGTCGGCAGAGACGGGGAGACACAAAAACCGGGGCCAGCATGCACACCACCGATAACAGTGAAATCGTAACTTGCATAAGCAAAAAAAAAAAAAACGGTATGGAAGAATAGCAGCAGTAAAAATATTTACCACAGACTTTAAGCGACTGTACGAACAAACACTCTTTTTACCAAAACAATGACATTTGTGACAAAAAAAAAAAAAAATCCACCAACATTAGCACCAAGACCTCGCCGGAGTGCTCTTCACTCACTAGTTGTCGATGTATTTGTCCATCTCGCCACAGCGGACGTTGTGCGTCTGCAGCTCGTAGATGACCTCCTTGTCGGAGAGCATGCGAGAGTGGGATTCCTTGGTAGGCTCGATCTTCCTGACGAGCAGCTTGCTGAGCCAGCCGTCCGACTCGGAGCCACAGGAGGGCGACGTGCTCAGCAGTCTGTCGTAGTGGAGGGGTTGTAACGACTGACGAGTGCCGAGGGGCCGGTAATTTGAGTGTTTAAGAGTAAAAGGAGATATAAAAGAAGCCATTGAACACGTAATCTGTACCCATGACACTTTGGTTTATTCGAAAGATAGAAAGCCTGAATAATATGAAACACCACCCATGAACTAAACGACCACCTGAAAAATGAAACTTTTCATGACATAAAATAACAAAAGAAGTTTTGTGCAGCCACAATTTACCAGGACATGGCGTTAAACATATATCCACCATCAACTCGTGAACGAACTGAAAATCGCGAACTGAAAATCGAACGACCCTCCAGACCACATCGTTAAATCTCAAGATGATCTACATCGTACACCTCGCCTACACGCATGGCTAAGAGTACGACCGAACAGAATGTGATACATGTCTTGTCACTGAGCACTGACAATGGTATGGTGACAACTGCTATTAAAATCGTGCCAGTCAGTACTCCTGCTCACCTGAGTCCCAGAGAGGACACCAGACGGTGCTGGCTGGGAAGGCGCGACAGCAGCATGGCTATTCACTCAGTGTGCTGAATTATTGCTTTGCCCAACCAAACCCTGAAAATAAGCATCAGCGACCGTCAGCGATAAAATGGCGATTTTAGGAATGCACACTGCACAGGAATAATGCTGCTATTAGTTCACACCAAGTGTATCACTATTACTGCTTTCGAATTACCATCCAGCAGTTATCGATCGTGAATCGTGATACATTCAAGCTACCAATATTCACCGATAGCCATTTGTTATATCGTGTTTTCGAAGTACTGTCCTGTAGTTATCGATCGTGATACCTTCAAGCTACCAATATTCACCGACATCCATTTATCATATCGTTTTCACTCCATTTCCAGCCAAGAAACCAATTCTTTTGCCCAGTGACTCTCCCCTGTTTTAAATTGTGTTACGTCAACACGGTCAACACACTTCTTACAGCATTGAAAATTTGTTTGTTTGTTGGGGTTAGGGGCGCGCCGACTGCGAGGTCATTTTGCGCCCACATTGACAATTTGCATGGCATAGTTGGATTGGCATTTGGTGGTGAGCTGAGATGTAAATGAAAATAAGTGAAGTGGACCTTTCCCTCGATAAAAAGAACAGCATGATGCACACCCAATTGCCATCGAAGGCATTAAAAGCATTTATTTTAAACCCTCGCCGGCCGAAGGGGGGGGGGCGGGTGCCGCTCCCCCCCCCCCAGGGTTTATCGCGATAGCTCTGGACACACTGGCGATAGAGAGCTAAAGCTTGGCATATCTGACCTTTGATTCAAGCCAGATCTTTTGACATCAACCGCATTTTCAGGCCAGCTCAGGTCACTGACCTATGACGTCATGAGCGAACCTCTGCACTGTCTTCAGACTTCAGATGTCGCAAGTTCGCAACGCCCTCAGTGCCAGAGAAGCTTTCACAGGGAGATGAAACTTACAGGACCTAGTATTCTCCAGAGGTCTCACAGCTTGAACATCTCGGATTTTTCCATAAGGTCACATGAGGTCAGGTCAGTCATGTGACCTCACCATTATAAGTCAATAGGGAAAAAATGAAAACTGCTATTTTGGCGCCGGGAACGATCTACATTCAGCTCAACCACATAGAATCGTGGTTTCGTGCACTCATTGCAAGTGCTTCCCTTTTGCATTGTTGACCTTGCGTGACGTCATTTATGATGTCACTTGGGTCATAAGTTTTTGGTAAAGAGCTCCTGATCAAATTGAGCTAGCGAGTCGGGAAAGCTACCAGAGAACTCGGAAAGACCTGCAGAATCGAATTATTTGCGATATGACCTCCTCCGACTAACTTGGTGACCTGGGGGGCTCTGACCTGACTGTGACCGGAGGTCAACACCTGAAGTTGACCTCACCAAAAAAAAAAACATTCGACACGCCTAAGCGAGGCGAACACAACACGATGATGACAAAATCGCAGCTCTGCGGCCGTTTGATGCGAAGTTATTTGCCAAAACCGAACCCGTACCTTTGGCCACTTGACCTGACCTCAGAGGTCCCCAGTTGACCTGAGACCTCAAAATCGGGTACCAGTCGCTTCGCCTCGAAACGGCACACACGGTCCTTTTTTCCGCGACGCTCTTGTTCCATCAGGGGCGAAACGGCGAGGGCGGTCGTACTCCCCCACGCCCCCACCCTCGGCCGGCGCGTATGTAGAAAACCAATCGGTCCGGCGAGGGTTAAAACCAGTAAAGCATAAAATAAACTGTAAACCATTAAACCGTATACCTATAAAACCATAAGTGAATAACTTTATTCTCCACTTAGGAATATTTTAGAAACCTAGGTTCCCAGCTCTGAGTCAGTTTACAAGATTAGCTCATTTTATAGCTGTTTTCAGAGTTTGACAGGATGTCATAATCTGCTACATTTACCACCCATCAAATCACTGTTATATGCCCCAGCTGCCAGCACCCCTGATTCCCTCCATAAGATACATGTTATTGCACTCATCATTGTGTATGATGAGTGATGTGTAGGATGATTCACATGAGTAATTAACATGTTATAATAAAGTAAATAATTTATGTAATAGCCTATTACTGCACACACACCACCATGCCACTCCTCAGTATTTATACATGGTCCTCTGGGCTCTGATGGCTTGTACCTGCTTGTTGTTGAGATATCTACCTAAAAGCTGCATTTCCTAGCCCTACAGTGTTTACAGTTTATGCTTGACAGATTTATTAGCAATGCTTTGCTCTGTTTATTATCTGTAAAATTAAATGTAAGCTCATGACAATGCAATATCACAAGTTGATGCAAACAGATATACACATGATCTGTTTAGACAAATGATCTGTTTAGCAATTATTTACTTTGTGTAATGTATTTTTATTCATGCAATGCTTTAACCCGCGCGGGGCTGGGGTCTCCAGCCGAACGCGCGGGGCTGGGGGGGGGGGGGGTAAATTTTACCCCCCCCCCTGTTATCTCCCGAACTAATGGTCCGATTTGGAAAATTCAAACGTCAATCGAAAGATCTCATCACGAACAGCTAAAAACATGTACTTAATTTTAAGTTTGAGGTCGAGGTCAAGGTCAGGTCAAGGGTACAAATTGCAAGTTCCTACAGTATCGGCCTTGCACCGTAGTTGCCGAAGAATGGAGTCATGGACTGAGACTAATCGCCCAAAACGTGTTCTTAGGCTACCAAGACAATATTCGTTGCATACAATATCATTCAGAGGTCAAGGTCAAGGTCAGGTCAGGTCAGGTCACCAAAAACAAAATATAGAAAAGGGCATGTGCGACACATGTTTTATGGGTCATTTTACTCATAGAATTCAATAGGCACACTCAATAAGTGATATGGACCACCTCTGGATGAATTTCAGGTCGAGGTCAGGTCAAGGTCAGGTCAAGTGAGGTCAAATTTTGAAGTTGGTTGTTAAGGCCTAAAAAGGTGTCTATCTGATGCAGTTTTTCACGGCGAATCGAATGGTGCTACTTTTGTTTCCGTACGAGGTCTAGAACTTCCAAAAAAAAGTCATTTTTCAAAAATTTTGTGTGTCGTGACGTCATACAATTTTGAATAACTCCCACATTTTTGAACCGATTCTTCTAAAACTTGGTATGTAGGTGCACATAGACCACTTCTCTGACATATATTCCGGTTTTTTTCGATACACTCAAAATTTTGGATTTTATAGCTATTTTTCCAAAAAAGTCAGTTTTTTGAAAAAATTTGGGCCAAAATCCAAAATTTTCAAAAAACCGAGATAGCCATTTGATAGACAAAGTAAAATTACGTATATCCTTTTTTGTTACGTCTTGATTCCTTTAAAAATGAAGATGTTAGCGGCGTTTGAACTTTTGCCGTTTTTGAGGCGAAAATGGCGAACATGACGTCACTAAAACGTCAATATCTCAAAAAATTTCCGACAGATTTCGCTCAAATTTTCAGGGAACGTGTCAAATTGATGTAAGAAAAGGTACTGAAAGTTTGGCGGCGCTGCGCGCCGCCGTTTTTGAGATATTGCAAAAATTCGCGAGGGGGGGTAAAATTTACCCCCCAGCCCCGCGCGGGTTAAGGCATCATAAATGGAATGCTGTATGAAACCAATTTTGTCCTACAATTGTTTATTTGGTTTGTTGGAACTCACTCAGTGAGTGAGCCCTTAATGGGAAAAAGCTCTTGACTGCCAGCATTAGATTCACAAATATCTTTCTGCAAATTCTCCTGCTAGATTGACCAATTTGCCAATAAATTCTGCAGCCACCATGCACTCAACTTGGCACATGAGAACTTACAATGGAATTGGACATGCCAACATTTTTGCTGTGATCCCACCACTTTGCCAGATATTCATCAGCATGGCCTGTATTTTTGCCAAGTCTGGAGTGTATACCTAGTCTACTTGTTTTCTTTCTGTAACATTTATGCACATCATTTATCTATCTCTCCCAATTAATATATTTATCAAAATTCATTAAACCATATTTAACTATGCACCTAAATTGCAGGGCCCTCTTTCTTGGTATGCCGCTACAGACTAACAGAGTGCTCTGCTGCGCTACAGCATTGGTGCAACGTTTGCTACTAATTCACCATGATGCTTCAGCATTGCGAGTGACCGAGGTTGAGGTTGTTGATGTTTCCACGGAAACCCAATACACTGGTACGCATCACACTGTGGTGCAGCACCTTAAACAGGGCCCAGGTATCCTCTGAACAACCCATAAATGACATTTGCCCCGCTGTAGCGCCAATTGTGGTGTTTATTAACCCACGACAGCCCTTTTGATTTTTTTTTTTTGCTCCCGCGACGGGCTACAGCCCTAGTGGCTAGTCGACAGCCCCACGACAGCTTTACTTGTCTATAGTCTACTGACATTGCACAGGCTTCGTTATGCTTTAAAAACATATTGAAATTGACGATACATGTTCATAACAACGAAGAGATGGAAGAGAACACCAGCAAAACCATTCCAAAACGCACCCGTCCGCGAGGGTCCTCAAAGTCAAATGAAAGTTTTTTTTTAGCAAGCAGCGCTTACACTTCTTGCAAACCGCATACCTCAACATGTTTTCTTTCTGTATTGCCTGAAGATAGTAGTCCAATGACCGACCCAATATTCAATCAGCAAGCAGGTTACCTAGCAACCACTTCCAATTCTTCGCTAGTTCGCTTGAATTCGCTGTCTTATCTAGTAATTGAACATAAAACTTTCCTAGAAATTTTCTCTTTTTTGAAACATATGCGCAATTACTGTCTACAGATTTGATAATTGATTTAAAACCTCTAAAACTAAATTTTAGGTCTATTCCAGTCTATTCTAGATGTTTTTTCGTTAATTTAAATTGAAGTACATTTTATCTCAAAAGCATAATCCTCTTTTTTCTTTTTTATATTTATGCTTAGGTCGAGCATTTTTCAAGGTCATTCGAAAGTAAAGTAAACAAGTCGTCGAGACTCGCGCCAGTGCAAGATCAGTCGGTGACACACCAGGGAAATAAGCTAAAATTAGAGTGCTCTATTTATTGCTCCTGCCCCATGTTGAAGAGATACCCCTAAAAGCGTGATCTTTTATCGGCCCTTACGCAGCAAGGCAGTAATTCTCAGACCGGTGGATGGTATCAATAGAAAGAGAATGCGTCAAAGATTAACATGAATTAATTAAAATAACATTAAAATGTTAATTAAGAGTGGAAATTAGTCCCAAACATAAGCTAATTATTGCTCCTACCTCGGCGACGGCGCTCCCCGCAGTCGGCGGAGAAGCTAAAATAAAAGCCACCATCCTCCTCCGTAAGTCAATTTTAGAGCGGCCGAGTGGGCCGATGCGGGGCCACCAAACTGAGGTGAGACGTGGCTAGTAATTGCAAACCGCCATAGAAATCAATATCTTAAGACGTACAATATGGGATGATTACTCTGAAGCTGGAGTGAAAGCATGAGTAGATTGCAAGAAACGAAATGCATAGATTGGTTGAATTATGTACAATAGGCACAGCTCAGATGAAGCCATTTCTATGATGTTGACATATGACATAACCCTTCCTCTCCTCACCTATGACCTACGTGCATTGGCAGTTACCGGCATAGTTTTTGAGCACGAGTGAAATTCGCCATCGGACCGCAATACATGTTGCTAGGCTGCTGCAATTACAACGAACATACGAATACTGCCTTCATTTGTAGACGTTTGTTTTTTAGGCGGTCTTTGACGTGCAAGGGGGCATACCTGTCGACAACTTGAGTTTCTCCGAATTTCAAAAACTCCCAGAATTTCAATTCCTTATGCACTGTTGTAGGTACAGCTATGTTCACAAGTTTTTGTTTCCTCCTGTTCTAAAAAGGATGATATTTGTCGATTTCGTGCGTCGCTGATAGGAGGGTGCGTTTAATAATTAGGCCCAACGCTTTCTGCATCCGCGAGTACCTTCAAAAGGGAACAACAGTTTCCATTTATTACACTATGGGACATGTGACAAAATGACCACTGGAACACGCATGAAACGGAGCTCATATTCCTAAAAATGTCTACAATCACTTCTTTTCTGACACTATTAGCAAATACCATCTCAAGTTAGGTGGTTGACAGACAGTCAATGGAGATCTGGGGAGACTGAGTGATGCCAATTCACCACTTAACTGATAATGAGGGCCGAGGGAAGAGAAACATGCAACATGCACAACTGACAACTTGACAAGTGACAAAACACTACCACTATTGCGCAGTGCACAACAAATTACAGCAGCCAGCCCAAAAATGCTTTTGATGGCTAATTGCAAAACAAGTCACTAATAAATGTCTTAGTTGCAGCTGAACACTGCACAATAATCACACTGTTCACACATTGAGTGAGATGCCACAGGTGGTTTGAATCACACTTTGGTTCAACTGCAAATCTGAAGTGTTGTCATGAGGTTCATGCCTCCATGATCACAGCACTTTGGTTGTGGTTGGCATAACACTTGTAGTCTGCGGAGTTCCACATTAACTGCAGACACCTCATCTGGTGGTCTTCATATTGCTCAACTTCTTCAGGAAGCAAATGTCGACCACCCAGCGGAAGCATGGTCCTGCAGAAAAGAAAGGTAATGCATAAGGTACAAACATTATCTGCTGAAACAGCTCCTTCTGTTGGCTGTTATTCAACTTTTAACATAGGTAACATAACAACATGTATTCCACGTAGGTATATTACATTTGTTGAAGTAAAATACTGCCGGCTATTTCAAAACCAGAAAATGAAATTATATTGTGGCATAATTCACCTGCTCAGCTATCAGTATCAAATAATAATTAATTTAATATTTGGCATATTCTATATAACACATTCATAGAATATTCTACTTCACGTCACAAGGACTCACAATCTTTCTGTTGGGTGTTTGATTGACGCATTAACTAAGTTTGCCTTAGGTTTTATTATTGCAAAAAAAAATTCATATTGCATTATTGTATCAAAATACTGCCAGCAATAACAAAACAAGAACATGAAATGCCAATGAGTAAGCCGCCTTTCCTTAAAATGGATTACTTTGAAAGAAATTTTAGTTTCTTTTAAGGAAAAGGAGAAATGATTATCAGGTAATTATCAGAAAACCACTCAACCAGCAAGTGGCTGGGTGGTTTCACAGCAAACATCAAGCCAAAACATATACTTACATCTATCTCAATCTAACAATTGAGCCATTTGACTACTACAAGGATATGTGAGCAAAATAAGAATCCAATTATCCAATGTTGACTTCCTTGCAAAGTTTATGCCTTATTTTATGAAAATGTGTCACTAGAATATGATACTTATCATCGAATATTATTTAATTTACGATTTATTTCGATCGGAATGCACATGGAGTCCCGCGCCATTTTCGTCGACGATGAATATGATCGTGTTTCATGAAGAGATAAGGGGTTTCAATGGTCTTTCATAGCAATAATTTGATGCAAAAATTTGTAGGAAATAATATGAAGCTGGTTCAAATGGCCATCAACCATTCAAAACACCGAAAACACTCACAACTCCGTCCCGACGACCACGCAGCACCGCGCACGCCACACTACTGGCACAATGCCAAAACTGCTGTCACAGCGGAAATGTTTTTTTTCTCGATTGTAATTGTGGAATTATTTATTAAACAGAAGATGATCTTTCCGAAAAACCGACTGATTTCATACACAGATGCATGGAAAATAAAAAAATCCCGGTAAGTTTATTTGTATTGTTTTGTCGATTTTGACATGCTCCTAGTTTACAGCCATATTTCGATATGTTCTACAGGGAGTTCAGAATTATTTCAGGACCAATCTTTTCCTCATTCATTTTCCCGTCGATCATGAAATTTTTAGAGCGGAACAATTGGTTTCCAGGCGGTCCGAGCGGTTTTTGTGAGAAGGGTGCAAAAATCGGCGTCATTTTTAGAGCCTCGACACCAGCTCAACACAGGACCCTATGGGAGACGGTGAAGTAGCGGGAGCAATAAATAGAGCGCTCTAATTTTAGCTTATTTCCCTGGTGTGTCACCGACTGAGATCTTAGATCAGTGTGAATTTTAAGTGAATTTGAAATGTGTTAATTGATAATTCTGGTGAATTTTTGCGAAAGATGATCAAGCGTATGTACTGCCTTGGATCAAGCTAATAAGAATATAATTAGAGGCGTTTATTCTGTATTTGTCCATCCATTGACTGCTTGGTCCACCATATTTTCTCCTAAAACAACTCTTCAGGTCGAGGCCAAGGGCGAGGAGACGGGGAATAGGCGTAGAGTGAGAGGTCAAGCTGCTTCTGATTCTGGATTTTACAAGCAAGATAGAATGCGGGAAAGTTCAATTGAAATATGCGTGGATTCTGTGGATTCCGCATTGCTGGCTGCCCGGGGCGGTGCTGACAGGTTGGAATTATGTGCTGCTTTATCAGAGGGTGGGTTGACGCCAAGTGTCGGTATGCTGATGATAGTGAAGAAGCATGTTAAGGTGAGGCTAAGAGACTTTAAATATGCAGTGTAAAGCAAAGAAGAAAATCACATGCTGAATCTTCTATGCTTAACCCTCGCCGGACCTATTGGTTTTCTACATACGCGCCGGCCGAGGGGGGGGGGGGGCGGGTACGACCCCCCCCCCCTCGCCGTTTCGCCCCTGGTGGAGCTAGCGCGTCGCGGAAAAAACGAGCGTGTGCGCCGTTACGAGACGCAGAGATTGGTACCCGATTTTAAGGTCCTAGGTCAACCGGTGACCTCTGAGGTCAGGTCAAGTGCCCCAAGGTACGGTTCAGTTTTTGGTGAATAACTTCGCAAAAAACGGCCGCAGAGCGCCGATTTTGGCAGCATCGTGTTCGTCTCGCTCAGGCGCGTCGAATGATATACTTTTTGTCCGGGTCAGGTCAACTTGGGGTGTTGACCTCAGGTCAAGGTCAGGTCAGCACCCCCAGGTCACGAAGTTGGTCGAAAGGGGTCATGTCGCATATCATTCGATTCGGCAGGTCTTCCTGAGTCCATTGGTGGCTTTCCCGACTCGCTAGCTCAATTTGATCAAGAGTTATTGACGAAAAACTAATATGACCTTGATGACGTCATAAATGACGTCACGAAAGGTCAACATTGCAAAAGTGACGCATCTAACCTTGCAAGGAGTGCATAAAATCACGATTCTGTGTGCTTGAGATAGTTGGAGATCGTTCCCGGCGCCAAAATAGCAGTTTTCATTTTTCCCCATTGACTTATAATGGTGAGGTCACGAAAATGACCTGACCTCATATGACCTTTAGGAAAAATCTGAGATATACAAGTTGTGGGACTCATAATGGATACTAGATCCTGCAAGTTTCATTTCCCTGTAACATCTCCTCTGGCAGTGAGGGCGTTGCGAAGTTGCGACATCTGAAGACCGTGCAGAGGTTCACTTATGACGTCATAGGTCAGTGACCTGACCTGACCCAAAAATGCGGTTGGTGTCAAAAGATGCGGCTTGGATCAAAGGTCAGGTATGCCAAGTTTCAGCTCTCTATCGCCAGCGTGTTCGGAGCTATCGCGAAAAAACCCTATGGGGGGGGCGGCACCCGCCCCCCCCCCTCGGCCGGCGAGGGTTAAGCCTAATTCGTAAACAATTTAGCTTTGCTTGAACATTTTAATTTGTTCACTACCTACCTATTTTACACCTATTATATTTTTATACTACACAGGATAATTCAAACTGTTTTAAGCAATAGACTAATGTGGAAACTAGAAGTACCTATAGCTGTCCATTTATATCTGAATTTTTGCATCAATTCTAGCTTCAAAGTATCAATTGCACATTTAATGGCTATTTTTACTTAAATTTCTACGCATTTTCCTGTTTTGTTTCACACTCTGTTTCTTTCAGATTCCAGTGTTTGTCCTGATAAGATGTCGTCAGGGTGACTTTGTTTACACTGAAGATGATATGCTAGTGATGATATCAGATATCAATATTATGAAAGCTCATGGAGCTGATGGCTTTGTTTTTGGATGCCTCAAAGAAACTGGGACAATTAATGAGGTATGGACATTACTGACATTAGTTCTATTAGGAATAGGATGTCTGTTGTTATGGTAGAACAGAGAATCCCTATCATAATTTAGGTAATGGATATGTTTTACTTGTTAAAGAAGTGTGCAAGCATTTTATAGGTAAGAAGATTATAACGATTGTGAAATGTGAATAGTCTTGAGGCCTAGGCATTTTGAGTAGATGTTTACATGCTGAATAAGTGAATAGCAGGTCTCATCCATAAAATGTGGATAGTAGCTCTTTGATTTAAGCTATAAAATATTCCTCAGGGATACAACATTGGGATAATGCCATTGGCACACGTGTATCAGTATTTGTAATATTGTGTTTTCACACCTTCTGCAAGCAGTACTGTGAGTTCTTACCCACGTGTCTGGGTGGTTGCCTGTTCAGGAACAATGCGCGGAGCTGTTGAGCGCTGCTGCACCGCTGCCGTGCACTTTCCACCGGGCATTCGACTGCGTGGCCTCTCCAGAGGAGGCGCTCGACACCGTCATCCGGATGGGCTTCACGCGGCTCCTGACCAGTGGGCTCGCGCCCTCCGCCGCCAAGGTTGATGTTCCGGGACCAGATGGGTACAGCCATTATTTGGTTTGGTCGGTTGGACTGGATCTTTTTAGTCATGATTTAAGAGCGTTCCAGGGTCATTAGATCATGCGATCGGGTCTGATGGCCTGAGAGGTAAGCGGTGACCGTCTTTGCCGGCCGAATCTGAGATCTGACCCCCGCCCCTCCTGCGGCGCTGATCGTCCGGACTCTCAACTCTCCCCTCCCGTCTCTCTACAGGGAGCAGCCCTGATCGCCCGGCTGGTATCCCTCTCGGCTGGCCGGCTCTAACCCTCTCTCCTCGCCCCTCTATCTACAGGGAGCAGCCCTGATCGCCCGGCTGGTATCGCTCTCTGCTGGCCGGCTCTAACCCCCTCTCCTCCCTCTGCAGGGAGCAGCCCTGATCGCGCGGCTGGTATCGCTCTCTGGCGGGCAACTCTAACCCTCTCCCCTCCCCTCCCTCTGCAGGGAGCAGCCCTGATCGCTCGGCTGGTATCCCTCTCTGGCGGGCAACTCTAACCCTCTCTCCTCCCCTCCCTCTACAGGGAGCAGCCCTGATCGCCCGGCTGGTATCGCTCTCGGCTGGCCGGCTCTAACCCCCTCTCCTCCCTCTGCAGGGAGCAGCCCTGATCGCGCGGCTGGTATCGCTCTCTGCTGGTCAGCTCTAGCCTCTAACCCTCCCCTCTCTCTACAGGGAGCAGCCCTGATCGCCCGGCTGGTATCGCTCTCGGCTGGCCGGCTCTAACCCCCTCTCCTCCCTCTGCAGGGAGCAGCCCTGATCGCGCGGCTGGTATCGCTCTCTGCTGGTCAGCTCTAGCCTCTAACCCTCCCCTCTCTCTACAGGGAGCAGCCCTGATCGCCCGGCTGGTATCGCTCTCTGCTGGCCGGCTCTCTGTGATGCCCGGCGGTGGCGTAAACGCCCAGAACGTATCCCAGCTGGTCACTCTGACAGGCGTCAGTGAGGTGCACGCGTCGGCGCGCGGCCCCCGTCGCTCGTTGATGGCGGTACCGGCCGGCGTGTCGATGGGCGCCGCCAGTGACGAGCGCTGCTGGCTGCAGTGTGACCCGGACGAGGTCGCCGCCATCCGCCGCGGTGAGCAATCGACGTCGTGCGTGCATATGTCCCAGCGTATTGTGTGCACTGTATCTGTGCACATATCAACACATGCGACACAGCACACACGCACGCGGGGCTGACATAGCGTGACGATGGGTTGGATGTTTGGGGGCCGGATACCCTTAATAGACGGGGAACTCGGGTACAACAAACACAGTGCGGAAGTTTGATTGACAATAATACGGGTGCACTTTATTCGGAATTTAGACCGCATACAGAGTGAACATCCGACGGGAAAGGAATTTTCATTTTGATGTCATTGCTACACTTTGGAAACAGTCCGATGAAACACATAATCACGTTGACCTATTTGATGAGCTGTAGAGTAAACATCCGGTCTTAGCTACAGTTTCCTATTTTCGCCCAGCAGGAGGTCCGTTGCGATTGCAGTCATCCTAGCTGTGGGCAATGCTTGGTACCAATACCAATACTTGCATGCAATTGCTCCACCAACCTCCCCGTTATGTAGAGGCTGATGTGTCTTCGTGATGTGTGACTCATGTGATTGTGTGTTGTTTTCAGCCTTGTCTTCGGCTGGCGAGGAGGGGGACGCCGCATAGCCGCGCCGTTGTGATATACAATGTGGGTGCCTCTACCACCTGGTGGCGCGAATAACAGTGAACGGGCCGGGGTTTTATACCATTTATATATACTCGTACTTGTAACTGGTTACATTGTTGCATTTTTATATTTCAATACATATTCACACAATTTCATACACATGTTTCGGACAAGACAAAGTATGAAAAAAACGGCACAAAATCTCAACGTGGTAGAGGTTGAACGGAACAAGTAACGACGTGGGCTTTAACGTTCTCATTAGCGCACTTTCAATGAAAGGCCACATCGCCGCTATCAGTTTTACACGCCTTGTCGTTCCTCTTACAAGAATCCGAATGCTCAGTGTGACCCGGCGAAGGTGACACTCTCAATCACTTACTCCACTCGACTGAAACCTGACACGTTCCTCTCATATGTATTGTCAACGTGGAATAAATAGGAGCTCCAGCGGCTTTGCAGTTCCATCCTACTAGACTGACTAGACTGTCTCTAAGAATTACTTGCGTCGCCGCCACGGGTGCGGCACAAAACGCGCACGGACTGACACACTGGCGCCGACTTCGGCTTGTGCACGGCAGTCCCACACACACACTCTCACACTGGCGTCTCGGCCACACACACTGTTCAACAAGTAACATTTGGCACTGGGTCCGCGGTCCGGGCCGCCGCGCGTCGCTGGCCCGGCGCGGCCCTCGCGCACCTGTCCCGGTCAGCACTGAGACTCGCCGGATGAGTTGAGTTTGCTCTCGCGACTGCTCAGCTCCAGCTCCAGACTCTTGTTGCGCTTGTACATCTCCATGTAGTTGAGCTGCAGCTGCTTCTGATAGTTCACCACCTGTGGGAGCGGTGCAGGCGCGTTAGGACTTGCTGATAAGCTAGGTAAGTCAGCACTCTGAAGCATTTTCATTCTGAGACCAGTAACTAGGGCGGCGTTTTTTTTTTTTCAAACACAGCAGTGTGTCGACTCAACTGTATACAACGAGAAGCGTGGAAATTGGAAATGCATCACACATGATTACGCTGTGAGTCCGGATATTTTTTTCCGTTTTACTATTTTGGTATGAATATAAATCATTCGGCACTCATCCACCGATCCGATTTATATCCAAACAGGATGGATACTTTAACAATTCGTCCGTCTCTTACCTTTTGTTTTTCGTCGAGCCAGTGGAGCCTCTCCTCCTCGAAGGCCTCCTTCTGCTCCTGCGCCTGCTCCTGGGTGAAGCTGAGCTCGGACTTGAGCCGCTCCATCTCGCGCTGTAGCTGCGCAATCACCACGCTGGTCTCACCCGACCGCCGGTCCAGCGCCTGAGGAACGTAATCGGTCAGTCGTCAGTCGTGATTCCAGGTGATACCGTGATTCGTGAATCGTGATTCCAGGCCACCCGACCGGTTAAAAGTTTCGTCTATGGAATATCTGGTCATTGGCCAGCTAGCCTTCACTCCAGAGTCAGGAGAAACCTGATCGGTTAGCGGTCACTCGGAGGGATTACCTAACCGACTGACCTTTCTTCCCAGAAGGATACCTGACCCACCAGCGATCACTAAAAACGCTACCTAATCTGTCAACCTTCAGCCGTTACTCTGTGAAGTACCTAGTGATTCAGCCGCCCCTTCAGGGAAATGAGCCGTTTCCCTGTTCACCATAAGTCGTCACATCAGAAGGGATGTGTAGCAGCTGACTGATCGGCGCACTCTGACACGCCCGTTATCGTTCGGCACTCGGTCTCACCTGTTCCCGGAGGGTCTGCGTCTCGGCCTGCAGCCGCTTGTTATCCACCTCCTTCGTCTCCAGCTGAGCGGCGTACTCCCGCACCTGAGCACGGATGTGCAGCAGCTCGTGGTTCCGCGTCGTCTGGTCGCCCTGGCAGTCTTTCAGCTGGGACTTGAGCAGCGATATTTCACCTGGGGGGAGTGGTGAAGTGAGGCTGTCAGAGGTGGTAATATCAGCGCCAAGGGCGTAAGGATCATGAGCGCGTGAGCCGGGAGTCATGGAAGTCAAGGGGAATGTTACACAAATCATGTGATTATCACCAAAGCTGCAGGTGGTGGTGTTTTTGCAGCTCGTGACCTATCCAGGGCGCAAACGGTATCTGGCTGTCACGATATATCTATTATTTTTCTTTCTGTGTTTGACTGTCTCGAAGTCCAATCCGTCCTGTCTGTTGAAACCCATTTTATCACGACCCAACCTGTTCCGTCTTTCGAGTGTTCCACCAAAGTGTCCTATTCTGCAATGCCTGTCTAACTTTGTCCGTCATATTGCAACTTGTCCTAGCTCGACTCAGTCCTACTTTGGCCGGGGCACGCGGTGTCCTATAACGAGCCCTTACATTACACTCATTTTAATTTTGACAGCCCCCAACCGATGTCCCATGTCGTAGTCCCACAAGAGTCCAAACTCGTACTGACCTGACTTCTGACAGAGTCCCCAGTCTCATTGAGTCCCCACCACAACTAACCTGACTTCTGACACAGCCCCCACTCGTACTGACCTGACTTCTGACAGAGTCCCCACTCTGTGTCCTCCAGCTGTGAGCGGAGCGCGCCCAGCTCCTGCTTCAGCTCCTGGTTCTGCCGCGCCTGCTGCTCCTTATCCCTCCTCAGCTCGTCCATCTCCTGTCGCAGCTTCCGCTTCTCCTGCTGCAGCTGCCGGGTCACATCACCAGGTTAGTCCCGGTCACAGACGGGTTATGGGTCACAGTCACAGACGGGTCATCGGGTCAGTCCCAGTCACAAACGGGCTAGGGGTCACCCAGGCCAATCCAGGTTATAGGTCAGTCCCAGTCACATGTGTCGAGGGTCACAGGCTGTGGGCCAGTCCCGGTCACAGACGGGTCACAACTCATGGTCCACAAGTCACAGGTCAGTCCCGATCTTAGGTCACGGTCATTCCAGGTCACTCTTAAGTCCTAGTCTCGTGTCGGTCCCGGCTGAGGCCACATATAATTATTAATCTTAGTCATATCTTATAAGCCAGTCCCGGCCCAGTTCACAGTTCACCGATACCAGGCACAGGCACAGCCATGGTGTGATTCATCGGCCAATTAGAGATAAGATCACATCAGACACGAACTCCAGGCGGGGAGCCGAGCTCTGCTACGTTGAGGCGGGGTCCGGCCCGGCCCTGGAGGAAAGTCCGACCTCTCCCTCTCCCTGCCCGCCCATTGCACGCTGCAGCCTGGTCCAGCGGGCACCTGGCGGCGATGTTCCGTGTAGGACCCTGCGCCTGAGCACGCGAACGCTGTGCGTGTGGCGTACGTCGCCTGCGAGCGATACCGGCAGGCATCCAGTCGTTATGATGCCTGTGATTAGCTGGCCGTTTCGGCGGCCCAGATTGTCGGTTATCGCAGCCGGCGGCGGGAGCGGCACACACATAGCGTTGCAGGGTAGTGATGCGGGCAGTGTTGTACCGTCTGCTGGTTGCCCCTCCGGCTTACGTGCGTACCTCGACATCGCGAGGGGGGGGGGAGTATTTTGGCGCCGCGGGGAGGGTTCTGCCGCCAGGCAGGGAGGCTGTGATCTATGGGAGGTTGGAGCGCGCCAGCCCGTCCAGGCGTAGTTCGAGGGCGCGGCGGTGCTCTCCGGTGAACGCTCCATGATCGTCGTCCAAAGCGGCATTTAGAGGTCGGGAGGTCGCGGGTGCAGTAAGGGTCGGACACTCCCAGACCACGGAGACGCCAGCGTCCGTGCAGCATCATGACCCGGTGGAGCACGCTCTGACTGCATGTGGCGTACCCCGCGCCGACTGGGTGACCTCTGCGCCCTTCCAGCCCACTCTTTCCCCAAGCCCACCTCCCCCTCTCGCTCGCTCTGTTTCCCGGAACCAGCGGCCATATAGAGATCTGCCGTTCATGACCGGCGCTATGAGCGGCTCGAACCGTGGGAGAGCCGAACGGCACGCCCGAGCTTCAGTTGGACCACGGTCTTTAGAGTTGAACCATAGATGGTCTAGGGGAGTTGGACCATTGACTGTCCAGGGAGTCGGACCATTTGTGATCCCTGTGAGTGGACCAAAGACGATTCCGGGGACATTCCGTGCTAGACTGCAATGATCAGAGGATGTGAACGGCAGACGTATCTATCCTGCAGCCTACTGGTATATTTCCTCGTACAGATGTCCCACTGTACAGCGCTTCCGGCCTACTGCACTACGTCCGGCACCCGGTGGGGCCACTGTCCAGCAAAGGACAATAGCATCCGTTTGGACACGCCAACTGGATACAGTCAAGCCCCACTGAACACAATGTCTGACAAGATGGACAGACTCAGGATTACTTTACGACATACCGGCTATTAAAAACGTAATCTGGCGGCCAATCTTCAGGGTCCGGTGCCGATAACACCGTCTGGCATGCAATTTGACTGCAGTTGTTGCTATTTTAGAATGCATCGGCGTCGGTTTAATGTTCATCACATAACGCTACAAGGTGCCACCTGTCTGCGGTTTTCTAAATATCGACATAATTGAGACCGTTGGATGATCTACCCGTATTGACAAGCTGCATCTATGCAATTATCTGACATGGATGTGTTGCTGCATTTGGCAAAAATCCTGATAGCCTAAACCACTGACCTGCCCCGCTGTAATGGCCACCATGTGGCAGCACACCGCTCTCACATTCTCGCGGTGAGCTTTAGCTTACCTGGTAGGTGTGCATGGTGAGCATCTGCTCCATCTTGAGAGCGCGCTGCTGGCTGGCCTTCAGTCGGTTGTCGTAGATGGCCTTAATCTTCCGCAGCTCCTTCTCCCATGTCTTCTCCTTCTCGTGGTAGACGGAGAATATGACCTGGATGGCATGGGCCGGGTAGATGTCAGGGTGGTACATACATCGACGTAACATGCGGAGTTGGAGTGGGACAGCACAGCGCACATAGAGTTTGTGAACGGGTCAGAACACCGCTTACAGATTTTGAGACATGGAATATACGATGCCAACATCAAATAAATGACTATGCACCTGCCAAACAAGGCTGTTTCTACACACTGCAGTCGGGAGTCTCAAACGATCCATTATGCGTGCCACTCCATTCAGCTGGACAATGGACAGTCCTGATTCACACCGGTCGCAGCTCTTGGCGCCGACAGTGGGCCTCTCACCTGTTCATTCTGTTCCATGGTCTCTCGCAGGAAGTTGATCTCGGAGTCGCGCTCCCTCAGGATGGCCTCCAGACCGGACACCCCGGAGTCAGACGGACTCGGAGTGCAGGCAGCCGACTCCATGGCTCGGCCAGCGCCGTACGCGCCCAGTCCTCCGCCCGCCGCGGCCGCCGCAGCGTACGCCAGGCGCTCACTATTGACGGAGCCGGCGCGCGGCACACTGCTGCGCTGGAACGGGTCGCGCCGCTCCCCGGCCAGGTTCTGCACACTGCCGCCGATCCGCCCGCCGCCGCCGCCGCCGGCCGACAGCGACTGGAGCGAGTCGTGGCGCGCCAGGTAGGCCGACGGCCGCGCCGCCTCGCTGCGCCCGCTGAACGACTCGCGCCGCGGCTCGGGGGCGCGCGCCCCGCGCAGGCCGCGGTACTCGTCCAGCAGCGCCGCGGAGCTGTACGGCTCACCGGCGGCTGCCGAGCGCAGGTTGTCCAGGCTCTCGTACCGCGCGCGGGCCATGTTGGAGCTGGCTCGTCGGTCGCCGGCAGTGCCGCCCGCTGACTTCAGCTCCAGCGCACCTGTGGGATCAAACGAGTAGGGATCAGTTTCAGCCGACGTCTTACTGACTACTAGGGGCTCCTCAGCTGGGGACGACGAGTGCTAGGTGTGGGATGAATAGTTTCGGACTGGAACAGTTTTTAGCCTAGCTGGTTAATGGTTCCTTTACAAGAGTTGGTTAATTATTCAGCTTAGTACGCCTCGTCATTGCTTAGTCAGACCTAAGCGACGGTAGATTGGTATACAGTGCACCATTACTGACGTAATTCAATTACGGCGTAATTTGAATCATTAAACCATTAGGCGTTAGATCATTAACCATGACAAAACACCACAAGCTCTAGTCTGTTATCAGCGTGGGAAAACTCTCAACGAGAAAGCAGGTTATGCTGTCCGTAATGCTTCGCAAACTCCAGTGGTTTGCATAACTCGATTTTCCCCCGATAACTTCTAACCGCGACCGCAGTCGTATCAGCTTATCACAGACTGTGAACGCAGTGGCACAGCCTGTCACGCTCTCAGCGCAGCTCGAACCCGGAATCTGTGCGTTGGATCTCATCCCAGCCCACCAGGCTTGTCTGGGAGGCTGGTGATGATTCGGTCGGACGGAGATGGGTTGTGTCTTTCTCCTACCTCCCTTCGTCCCTTTTACGCTATGGATCCCTGATCCCTCCCTCCCTTGCGTGCGAGGTTAGCCTCGAGCTCCGGCGCGACTGGGGCGCCGCCTGTAGGAAATGTTCGTGGCGCTACCTGCAGTGTGACGCACGTCAGCATTCAGCAGTGCTCCAGACCAAAACGAACTTTGGGATCTGGAAGCTTCAGAATTGAGTGTAGCATAGCTATATGAAAGATGCGAGAACTCATCTGTGCTATTGACATTATCCATCATTATCCTTTATGCAGCCCCTCGGTTTTCAGCGGCTCCGAGCCGGTACCAGAATTAGGATGGGGCCCTGGGTGTGGAATGTGGACGGGGACGTCTCTAGTCTATATACTCACTGCCGTAGTGGGCCGTCCGGGGGGGGGGGGGGCTCTGGGTGTTAAATGTGGACGTGGACGTCTCTATATACTCACTGCCGTAGTGGGCCGTCCGGGGGGCGCTGGGTGTTAAATGTGGACGGGGACGTCTCTATACTCACTGCCGTAGTGGGCCGTCCGGGGGGCTCTGGGTGTGGAATGTGGACGGGGACGTCTCTTTACTCACTGCCGTAGTGGGCCGTCCGGGGGGCGCTGGGTGTTAAATGTGGACGGGGACGTCTCTTTACTCACTGCCGTAGTGGGCCGTCCGGGGGGCGCTGGGTGTGGAATGTGGACGGGGACGTCTCTATACTCACTGCCGTAGTGGGCCGTCCGGGGGGCGCTGGGTGTTAAATGTGGACGGGGACGTCTCTATACTCACTGCCGTAGTGGGCCGTCCGGGGGGCGCTGGGTGTTAAATGTGGACGGGGACGTCTCTATACTCAGTACTCACTGCCGTAGTGGGCCGTCCGGTTCCCGCCGATGTTGATCCGCTCCACGCTGCCGAACCGTGTGGGTGTGGCGGCCGGTGTGTGGGTGGGCGTGGGCCGACACGCCACCGGCCGAATCACGGGACCCTGTCGGAGGAGGAGGGGAGATGTCAGGGCACGCCACCGGCCGAACGCCACCGGCCGAATCACGAGACCCTGTCGGAGTAGAGACGGAGATGTCAGGGCACCGGGGCGGTACACTCGGGGGCAGATTGATGTTCCACCACCACAGTTTTGTCTCACCCAGTCAGGTCACAGACTCACATGTCAGGTCACCGTGCTAGCTCACTGTCGTAAACGCCTCGTCCTTTATGCATTGTGACAGAGTTAAATGGTACTTATCACTGCCTCTCATGGGCGGACATATTTTAATGTCTTGTGAAATTTTCTGAATTAATCGTTCGGCCGCTGTCCTTTCCATCGGCCGCCTGTATCAGCGCCGTCAGATACATCTACCTTCAACTGCTGAAAACTGTTCCCCAGCTTCATCAGACAGCTGTTCCCCCAGCTACAGACAGCTGTTCCCCAGCTGCCCGTATCGGTTCGAACCGGGCGGGTTCAGCCGATGACCCCCGTCCGTCCCAATCTGCGCAGTCAGCGGCAGACCTTGACTCCACAATGGCGGCACTCTGTGTGCGCCGCTGAATCAGCCCGGCCTCGCCCGGTGGGATGCGCCAGCTCATCCCGGGCCGGACCCACCCTCGCACCCAGTCAGCCGGTGTACCGACCTGGTCGGAGCGGCGCAGAGAGGGAGAGATATATGGTGAGCACAACGAGCTGGCAGACTGCACGCGCCTGGTGACGGAGCGTCCATTCTTTCCAGACATCCAGTGGCGGCGGAACACCTTCAATTAAGGGAGGGGGCACTGCCGACTTTTGGTCCCATTCTTTCCATGCAACGCCCATAGGGCTAATGTTAAAATGCCCAAATCAAAGAAGGGCACGCCCCCCCCCCCTTCCCCCTTTCCGCCGCCTATGCAGATATCCAGCGATTTTCTACACTCATAATCTAGTCAAAGTGGTGGCGTGCGGTGCAGAATAGAGCAGCGTCCTCCCGGATGCGTTTGTCGTTCCACACGACTGTTGCCACGTGTTGTGCATATCGGATGCTCGTTAGATAATCCGCGTACACTGGTGTCCGAGTAGTCTGCCGCCGTTCCAACACCGAGGGACGGCCAGTGCAGTGGTTGCGGTTGCAGGTGCAATCTCGGTGACGAATGACTCGTCAGCGGGGCTCGCATGTCGCCCGGGCCGGTGTGGACCACAGCAAACACCGGCTCGGGTGGCCGGGGCATTGCAGTGACGACGCGCCTAGCATGATCATCAGTCATCTGTCCGACGCCGCACGACGGCAAGCTCAAACTTGCAACTGCAGGGTTAGGGACATAAACTCAGCTCCTACTTGGTAACTGCCGGTCTTATGCACTTACCGACGAGTTACCCCACATTTGCACCTGCTTTCCACCCCTGTTTGTGCTTTGTGCATGCACCATTCAGTTCGCCTCCAGCTGTACCTACTGGTTTGGTTTGCGCAGCACGCCCCCTTCCAGACGTGCCCGCCTGCAAAGTTCCCCAACAGACCGTCGGGCCGTGCATGTCTGCACAGCTCGGCCCCCACCCTCAGTCGCGTCCGTCTGCATAACTCGCACCCTTCGATCGTCCCCTTCTGCCGCACAATGCCCAGCTTCCACCTGCTATGTCCATCTGCAGCAAAGTTCGCCTGGGGTTCGCTCGAGCACCCTCACCTGGCGTGCTCGCTCTTCTCCCGACACCGGCACGCTTTCTCCTCCCCACCTATGTTGTTCAGCCCGGCGCCTCTCCCCTCCAATCCCGCCTACCGGCGCGCCTGGGAAGGGGCGCACTCTTTATCCCGACAGGCTGCGCCCCTCCACGTCTGTCCTGCCGTCGACACACCCTCTCAGGCTGGTCGGAGGAGCCGTCCGTGCGCACAGTGCAGGTCGAGCGAGCAGCCAGCAGCAACGCAGACGCCGGTAGGGCGTGATGGCGCGCGGTCTACCATCGTGAGTTGGTGCACAATCGAGTGAGCACTGAGCAGTGAGCACGGTGTGGATGGAATGTTTTGTTATTTGCGATATGAGGAAGAAATGATGATATGGGAAGAGTTGGATGCCAGTCGGATTTGGGATATGAGAGGACTGAACAGGACAGGTCAGGCCAGACCTGGATATACACGATGAAAGGGACGGACAGAAAGGGTGCCGCCTGCAGGTTCGGGACCGGACGGGGCAGGACATGCTAGAGCAGGAAGTGACTGGACGGGATTGGCGGCCGATGTCGGACGGCCAGCACCATATTGTCCTGAGCCGGTAGGACACGAGCAGGGGCACAGTTGGGAGCCGCACCTGGCGGGGGCACAGTTGGGGGCCGTTTCACGGACCACAGCACGCGATCGCGGTCGAGGTTCGTCACTGCGCAGCGTCCCAGTGAACTTTGGGCCGTCGCTTGCTATAGTGAGGCTAGAGAGCCTCCGCTGGGAGCGCCGTAAGGCGGGTCAAAACGTATGGAACGGCGGGAAGGAACGGCTGAAGTGGAGACGAGGGCAGAGCACGAGCTACATCCCTGGACGGAGTGATTTTTTTAGTACAATTAGTAGCTCCGGCCACCTGGATACCCGATAACACAAATGACTTTGGAAGTCCGAGCGCCCTTATATTTCAATTGTCATCGCCGTTGTAAGACACCTTCAGCAATGCCACCTATTGTGTGCATGTGCTCGCGAAAAGTTTGGCTGTTTCCTTTTAAATTATGTGATTGATATCCACATTCACTCATCAAGCCTGCCGATTGAATGAGAATCGTCCATGCAGTTCCTTTGTAACGAAGTTGTGAAACAACGAGAGAAAGAACGCGTCCAGTGCACATGTTCTCGTACCACCCTATGGTGGTGCTCGCGGCCATACACGCAGTGGCTGATGTAGCAGAGTGAGATGAAGCAGCGAGTGCCCTTTTGGGCGTTAGCCACCACCGGCTCACCCACCTCCTTCGCCTCCTCTGCTTCTTGCTCGTCGTCACTCCCGCTGGTGGCGCGCAGGTTAAAACACGACACGGACCTCTTCATGGTGACGGCCTGTCCCGCCGACCAACTCTGCCCCACCAGCGTCCGTCGGCTCTCCGAGCACTGCTCCTCCTCCGCGGCGTCGGCGCTGCGGCCACGGCGGACAGAGCTGCGGCGCCGCGCTCACTGCGGCCGGCGCCGGCGGCCGGCGCGCTCCGCTGTGACCTTGTTGAGGGCGGGGCGCCGCGGCAGCTCGAGCTGCGGCTGGCGAGCTGCGGCCTGGGTGCGGCGAGCAGTCCGCAGCTCCGGGCAGTCAGCGGAGAGCGAGGGAGCGCCGCGTCGTTCTGCTTTTCATGCTTTTGAAAAAGAGCGGCTGCTGGTTCTCGAGAGGTAACTCGTTCAGAACTAAATTTGTTTCAAGAAAGAATGTGGATCGATTCTAAAAAGCGTCGGAACCGTGCCATTACTTGCTTTTTATCCGCACCTAAAACCTAAGGATATACGGACCGCTCTTGTCCTTGAAACCTTTCCCCAGCAACCAGATCAAAGCGTCAATCGCTTACGAGCCGAATGCCGTTCAAGGGTGTATTCTGGGGATGTTGTCAGCTCTAGGACCATTGGTGATGTGCTATGGAGCTGGCGCAGCTCGTCACGGGAATGAAATGACTCGTGTCCAACGGCCCAATGGATCTTGTGTTTGTTTCGTTCGTGAGATAGCTTCCAAAGGCCCTGAAATGCGGCTACCTTCTCTCACTCAACTAAACGGCATGGCCCGCATAGGCCCACTGATGGTGTACGGTTATTGGCTACACTCGGCCTTCGGTGATCAGTGGAATCAATGATCGGAACGGGCGCCTCAGTTGCCACATACATCAGCTAATCCATGGACCATTCTTAGAAACCACTAGCAGCGGCAGGCTTCAACCAACAGGCTCCATGTTTATCCCTCATGAGACTCGGCGTATATTCAGCAACCCTTCCTCAACCGCACTCAGTAGCCGGGACACGGACGGCGCCCCATCTTTGGCTGCTGGTCGGACGATTTACCGGCGATGTCAGCTGATCGGCGACTATCGTCGGTCGATCGGTACATACACCTGCTGGACTGGACAGTGGACCGGTCCGACAGATCAGAGACGCCAGGACTGTCCGATCCGCCGTCTGTCCGCCGGCCAAATTCGTCCGCCGTCCGCATACCAGCTGACGCCATCTAATGAGTTTCGAGATCGAATCACAGACGCAATTGGAGACGCTTAGCGCTCCATCATTCTGCCAATAAAAACGCGTTAATTGCTAATAGTCATCGCTGTAAAAAAGAAAGGGGTAGTGGAGTGGATTTGGGTGACCACTGCTCAAACTAGTAGTTTGTCGTTAGCCCGCTAGGGGCGCTGAGCTGGACCTCGCGTGACCGCCAGCCGAGTAGCCTGACCTTCGTGCTGGGACGCCACTTCTAACGGCGAAATCTACAAACGCGTCAAAATTAACATCACTGAGTCACTGCAGCCTTTTAGGTTGTTATAACCTAAATGATATCTATCTCTGTTTCGGCTTTATGGTTTATACACAAGCAAATCCGCCGGTGGCATCCAACAGACATGGTTTTCCCGTAGGAAATGCTGATTTTTCGCTTGAACTCCTTTTGTTGAGCTAGTTGACATGTGACGCCAGAATCGGGGGAACGGGCGTCCTCACCTTGGCAGGCGATGGAAAGTTTCCATAGTAAAAATGGTGCGGGCGCCCTGATACGGAAGTCTGTGCCGGGCGGACTGTTGATAACCTGCGCGATTCGGCGGCCCCTCCACCGACCAGTGGAATGTGGATGCCACTGTCCAGTGCTGTCGTGTCCCCAGCCATGCTGAGAGCTATCCCAGCGGTGCCGGAGGACACGGACCGACCCGCTGACGGTCGTCCGTCCCGGTACCAGAGGCGCCGCCGCGCGCCTCCGGTCCCGTTCTCCAATTTGTCGACGGCCGGTCCGATAGGCGATCCGGTGATTGATCGTCACACTCGGATATTCCAAACGCGCTGGGAATTCTCAGATGGCAGACGCCGAGCCGCTGGCCAAAGACGTCGGCCGAAGATTATCGCCGCGCGAGCCGTGACTACGGAAGTCATTGTTCACATTAGCCAGCGCCATAAGTGGCGCGCCGCGGAGATCCGTTGGGAGCCGTGGGACGGCGCCGACGCGGCGTGGACGACCGCGAGGTTTGCCGCCCGGCCGCTGGGGCTGTGGTCGCGGTGCGGTGTTTGCGGTTGACCACGCTGTCACGGCACCTGTACGGTGCCGCAACGCGGAATCACGCCGATCGGCGGGCTCCCCCGCGACCAGCCAGTCGCTTTGTGTTCATATAGAATCTTCGAGTTCTTAGTCCATCAATATCCTTCAAAGACCCTTCTGTACCCACCAGGTCCCCTTTCCATCCATCTAACTAGTATCTCTGGGTATCCAGATAGGACCTCTCCGTATCCAGGTAGGACCTATTTGCATCTATATAGGGACTCTCGGTATCCATACCGGGACTCTCTGTATCCATATAGGGACTCTCGGTATCCATTCAGAGCTGTTATCAGTCAGCGTCCCTCCCAGCTCCATCCCAAGCCAGCCTGCCCGCCTCTCTTGTCCCTAGCTAGCTAGCCTGCTAGTATATCCCTAGTCAGCCTGCCCGCCTCTCTTGTCTCTAGCTAGCCTGCTAGTATATCTCTAGCCAGCCTGCCCCGCCTCTCTCGTCTCTGGCTAGCCTGCTAGCCTGACCCTCGCTAGCTTGCCCGCCTCTCTCGTCTCTAGCTAGCCTGCTAACCTATCGCCTCGCTAGCTTGCCCGCCTCTCGTCTTTAGCAAGCCTGCTAGCCTGACCCTCGCTAGCCTGCCCGCCTCTCGTGTCCGCTGGGTCGGCGGTAGGGAGGGGCCGTGTCCGTCACGGCTGAGCACCCCTCCATCGGCAGCGTGTCCGCCGCTCCGTGCGCCGACCGACCGGCCCACCGACCGTCGGATACATATCGCCCTTCGCTAACGACCGGCAGCCAAGGCCGGCACGGCTCGGCGACGACGGCGGCGGTGGTGGCGATCTAAAGTCCCGGTCTGGTGAGCCCTAAGTGCAGGGGTGATTTGACCGGTCACCGCTGTGATAGGCGCCCTTCGACCGGTCAGTGCAGTGACAGACTCCTTCGACCGGCAGTGACGACCCGCTTCGACCGGTCACCACAGTGACAGACGGACAGACAGGTTTGGGCAGGCGCTTCACCGCACAGATTTCAATCGCCGTGACGCCACCGAGTTCTTCCAGAAATCGGACAACTTTCCGCACCCGGTGACGGCTCTAAACAAGACAAGCGTGACAAACGATTTCTTGCCAATTAATTCAAACTTTGCCTGGACACGCCAAGGCAGGCCTGGCAAGGCCACAGCACCGGTGTACAACATCCCTTCACGGTTGTTTTCGACTCGGCTTCCCGACAGCAGTGCAAGGTCCTAGATTGTTCCGCGCTTTTCCAATCGCCAGCTCGGCTTTTCCTGATGATAGACTGACAAGTGAACCAAGCGCAAGGATCTATTGAAGTGCAAAGTGAGCTAGTTCTACCTGCAGAGCCTGGAGGCCAGGACGGTCACTGAGTGAGCTGTTGGACGAGAAATGTATGGTTTTAAACTGAAGCTGGTATGTGGATACGTGAACATCAAGTGCGCTAGTGGCATGTATTTTCTTATTCTAGCTACTGGGCTTGCTCGTATGTAATTTCCAAGACCATCGATACACAAGAGCTGACAAAAGGCCGTCCTACCGGACAGCAATCTGCTAGTATGTAATGTGGCGACCCAACCGATCGTCTGCCACCGAGTATCGACCCAGTGAGGTCAACACACGGGAGGCGCGACGATCGGGCAAGCGTCGCTAGTAACCACCAGTCCCGAACCCTACCCAGCTACTCAGAGATTCACAGGGACTCGTGCTCGGACGGATGCCCTGCTCCCCAACTGACCGTGTTCTGTAGCACTCCGCTGATGGCCGGCAGCTTGGGCGGCGCGCGGCTCGTCTTGCTGGCCACCTCCTCGTAGATATGCTGCTCGGAGAGCGTACTGTTGAGGTCGGCGCCGTCACTGTCGTAGGTGGGTGTAGGCGAGTCATCATCGGCCAGAGTCTCGTGGCCGCTGTCCACGCGCGCCATGGCCACACAGCCGCCCACGCCTGTCGGGAGAGAAGATCAGGTCAGCGCGAGTCGCACTCCGGTCAGGTCAGGGCGAGTCATACTCAGGTCAGGTCAGGGCGAGTCGCACTCCGGTCAGGTCAGCGCGAGTCGCACTCCGGTCAGGTCAAGGCGAGTCATACCCGGGTCAGGTCAGGGTGAGTCACATTTCGCTTACGTTAGCGTGCTGGCTACACAGGGAGGCGAGATACAGGTGTTTATGTGAAAATGTGAGAGGTAAACAGCCGAGATTGCTGTCAGGCGTCAGAAGGCTAATGTTTAGAGACTGAGAGATTTTAGGAAGAGGTGACAACACACAAGCAACAGAGCTGATCCCCAGAACAGCGCTGGGTGAAGAGGAGGTACTCGTATACCGTACCAGGACAGTTCCTCAGAAACAGAAGGGACCCAGCACCGGGTGCTTGGTGAGGGCCGACCAACGGCCGCTCTGGAATGTACCCGATGCAAAATATGAACTGCAAGCCACCTTAGCACATTTTCTCACAGTAGGTATTCCCACATTACAGGAAACACGGGTGCTCCGTATCAGTCATAATTGCGCTGTTTTCTGGCGGCCGTTTCAACCCTTCGTTTTCCCCGACACCACTTGGCGCTCCCCGTGACAATGCTATGAAGCATTTTATTAGTCTTTCTTTCATAGTGTTACCGGGCGTATCGCACAGCTGTGTTCGAGCGCCGAGGCGGCGCGGCAGCGTCCCGTCACCAACGGCTGAAAACCAGTCCCCGGCGCCGGGTTCCCACGCCCTCGGCCGCCGGCCAGGAGTCATGATGAAGCCATTAGCCATCGGCCGATTGCGTGTCGGAAAGTTCCAGAAATATCTGGGCTGTCATCACCCGGCGATTTTTGCCTGGGCGTCGACGACACGGGAGCTCGCCAACGAAAAGAACAGGGGCTCGGCCGGTGAATGTGTGCCGCTCGCCAATACTGCCGAGGTCAGACGACGGCAGCATTCCGCGTCGGGACCCGCCGTTGGGATAGGCACCGGCGCGGCTGTGGCCCCATGCCCCGGGGGCAGAAGCAACACCGTCAACTGACGCCTGCAGCGGCTTCCTTGCAGACATTGGTATGGCGCCTGGCGGCCTGTGCAAGGGCAACGGCACCAGACGCCGGGCGTGGGAGCGGCTGGGCGACCCCCGGCCCGCGCCTGCACCCGCCGGTATCCCGTCCGCGGACCGGCGCCGCCTGGAGTCAGGCCGAGTTTCTCCCTCGCTGCCACCGAGCCGCCTCTGATCAGGCCCTGGCCGGCTCCGAGGCGTTGTTTACCGATAGCCGGCCGATTATATCGCAGCCGATTTAACGGTGCATCCAGTGGCGTGGACGGACGGACTCGGCCGAGGTCGGGCGCGGCGGCCGGTCACTGCGCACGGGCCTCCGCGCCGATTGGAACTGTTCGTACTGGGTGAATGGAAACAGCGCAGCTTCGTAGGCTGTCGGCGCAGTCAGATATCCCAATATCCTGAGTAGGTGGCAGCGACTGGCACGGATGTCGATACATGGATGAATATTGGATAATATATCAGAAGCTGTTTATTGTATTAGTTTGATCGTTGCTTTTTTCGTGAACCAAAGGGATCGGTGATTTGTCAGCAATATTTTTTACAGAGAGAAATAAAAGCCCATGGACTTCGTAATAAGTGACGCTCAGGTCATGATGGCTGAATACCGCCTCAATATAAACCCTTCCGGTGGTAAGCTTGCCTACAAATCTCCGCGACTGTTGCTGATCGGCTCTTTCGACACCTATAGACACCTGCTGACAGACCTGCCGACAGTACTTCTCTCGAGTCTCCATCCGCCGGTTGGGCTCGATGGTCCGGTGAGCACACTAACTGCCTCACTCGAGCTTTATGGTGATATAAAAGTGACACCATCACTCGCTCTCCCCCGGCCCTGGATGGTGCATCCGTACCGTTCCCAAGGAGACCGGCCGCTCCGAATCATGACCGGTGAACAAAGCCCATGTGCGCTATACGGCTCAGTCCTCACCTCGGTCGGGGTGAGCCCCTCGGTCGGGGCTCGGAGAGCGCTGTCAATCCCTCTCAGAGACAATGGCCGTCTGATTTTACAGTCGCCCTGACCTTGGGCCGACCGTCTCCCGGGGTCGTCTGTTGGCGGCGTCTAATGGGCCGCGTGCCGACGTCTGCCGGCGGAAATCACCGGCCGCCACTTACCGGTCCCTCCCCGTTCTGTCACCGGACCTGGGCACTTACCGGCCGCCCGGCCCGTCCCCGCTCTGAAGGCACCCACCGGCTGTTACCCGAGCCGTGGGCCGTCCATTAGAGGCGCACGCTCACTTCATATCACACGCTAGCACTCCGGTTTAAAACACGCGGCGTCGGCTGGCGAACGGCCGCTCGTGGGGCGCACCTCCCTGTCTTGGTTTTTGCTCGTTCTGCCGCAGCTGCCCGCCGGTCGTTCGCTGCCGGGCGGCTCGGGCACCCGACATCACTCATTACCAGCTGAGTGGGGGAGGGTAGTGGCAACGGAAGCGGCGGCGGCAGCGGCGCCTCCGGCGGGCCCTCGGCGCTCCGCCCACACCTATCACACACAGCTGGGCCGAGCGGCCCGGCGGCGGCCGGCGCACCTGGAGCCTCGGGCGCCGCAGCCGATCCCACTTAAACCGACCGCAGCCGGAGCATAACTCGAAAACAAAACTAATCGACTCTCGTTATCGGGGTGCGCGATAAACACTAATTGATGTAAGTCATCGGGCCGATATCGTCAGACCTCATATCTTCTTATAAACGTTGTTTTTGGTATAGAGCTAATTAAGGTGGCTTCGAGCTGTGCTAGCTCGGTTTTTGTTCGGCACAGCCCTGAGACTCGGTGCCTGTTCTGTTTCTGTCACCAACGGTTTATCATCTGTAAACCCTTCTGATTCCAACAATGACCCGCCCCGAATCCTCTGTTCAGGTCGGTCTCCGACCCTGAACCCCTGTCAACGCCGGTTCTCGTCAAGGACTTGGACGCGCGCTCCATCGTGGGAGTTTTTTACATCATCCCATCAGACGCCACAGGGGTTTTTCGGCGTCCATGGAGACCTTTCGCAATTCGTTCTCCATCGGCGAGGTTAGCGGGCTCATAGTCGCGCGCCGGCCCGGATGGCCTTTCAAGCGTCACCGTGGTTCACACCTATTGAAATAAATAGCATGCCGTTAGAATGATCCGTTCCCAGGCGTGTGAACACGGGTGTGAGAGCGCAGACGAGTGTGCAAGGCCACAGGGAGCGTGCCCTCCGACCTGGGCTCGGCACTGGCGCGACACGGGTCGGGGCGACCCGGGCGGACACAGACGTCTGGACTAGAGTTGCAAAGTTTTCCCAATGGGCTGCTACCGGCACCGCCCCGCCCCACAAACATTTTCTGGGATACCGGCATGCTACCACGCCCCAAGCAAAAAAAACCGCAAAATTACCGGCATACTAAAAAACCTGCATTCTTGATTTTGGCTTACCCCTACATGAGAGGCCACATTTTGGCAATTTCAGTAACCGCCCCACCCAACAGCCACCCATTGTCCAACTTATTACAATTCAATAGCCTCTTAGTGTCCAAAGTTTGAATCATATGCTGATAATTTTTTTTGTGCAAAATCAAAAATACCGGCATGCTACCGGCAAGACATGCCAGATACCACGAAAAAACCTGCGGTAGTGAAAAATTACCGGCATGCCGGTAGTGCGGTAGGGAAATTTTGCAACTCTAGTCTGGACACAGCCGCTCGGCCGGACACAGGAGGGCGGACGGACACCGGACACGGGCCGAGACAAAAGACTCCGGACAAAAAGAGCCGGAGACAGAGTGCCAGCCATCGGAGCGGACACGGCCAGTCGCCCACCCGGATAGAGGAGTGGCTCAACTGGACACTGTCCGCCAGCGATCGGACATCGGGCGGCGGACACAGACGATTACACACCGGACACACCGGACACGCCGCTCCTCCGGACGCGGACACGGTTCACGGGACGGCCAGACGAGCCGGTAAGCTGGTAACCCGCCGACTGCGGCCCGACAGCACCGTTACCGAGCTGACGGGTGACCGCGAACAAAAGCGGCCGAACGGCGCGGCGTCCGCCGACCGGGCGCCGGCGGCTGTCTGGGCCGCGCGCCGCCGACACAGCTGCGCGGTGAGTCGAGAAATCCGGCGGAATAATTGCTGGATCAAGGAACAGATAAGCGGTGACCAGTTGTCAAAACGGGGAAATAGAGTGACGACTTCCCCACAATTTTACCAAATTTTCCAGATGATGGTTGGATCTTAGTGGGTCCGTTTACAAAAACAAGTCGAATCAAACCTCTGCGACCCACAGGGCACAGGCTCAGATATACTGCGACTCCACGATAAAATGTTACAGCTACTCAAACCGAGCATCGAAGATCCTGTGGCGCTATGCGGCGTCCCTGATTAGCTGCTACCGAACATGCAGTGACAGGCCGCGGAGGCGGCCGCGGTGGCCTCCGCTGGTCCGACGTGTCCCGGCCGTGCCCGTCCCCCGGTGAGTCACCCGGCGTCTACACGACAACGGCGTGTCGCCGGTGTGACACGGACGCCACAGACCTTCCCCGTCAGCTGTGGTAGTGATAGTGTGATAGTGCTGAGGCCCGAGGGCTGTTCACGGGCCATGTGTGCGGTCGGACCGCACACAGCCTCGAAGCTCCGCCCAGTGCGTCCTTACGTCAGCCTTCCGTCACCGCACACAGCGATCGCTGTGGCCGGTCGGGACTGGCCACAGCGGACCGTCCACCGCACGCAGCCGTGACGTCAGAACCGCCTACCCATCCCCTACCCAACCCCTACCCCCACGCCTGCTGGACGCACCGCACACACCGCACGCAGCAGTGTGCGGTGCCCGTGAACACCCCTCCGGCTTCGGCCCGACCACAGTACGGCCCTACTGCCGTCAGCTGTGCCACCAGCTGCCCCCTACATAAATCCCTCTAATGAGCGGCATCCCTCACCCCTCACCCCTCCTATAGCGCCATTCATCCTGTCGCCATGAGCCTCCACCGCGTCAGACTGCCCCGGTGGTTATGAGCTCACCCAGCTTATAGAGCCAGAATCTCAGCCAGCCGTGCCCAGTCAGCTGGGCGGTCGAGCTCGGCCGAGCGTGAGATCAGACAAGCGGCGGCGATGGGCCGACCGGGGCCGAAATTTATCGTTCTGTTTACGGGCCGGCCGGCGTGGCGGCGCGGTCCGTAGCGGCTCACCGTGATACCAGCTGGAAGACGAGCCGCACGAGACGGTCGAGCCCGGCGAGGGTGTCTCGTCACGAGGCTCGTCGGCCGACTCGTAGATGGGACTGGCCTGTCTGCGACGTGCCAGAGCAGATGCCATCCGCGTGAGTAGCATCGTAGGCGACGCGGCGACCGGAACTGCCGACGGTGACACTCGGGCGCACTAAATCACAGGGGCCGGCGGCGAGCGATCCTCAGCTGTCGCGCGCTGTCAGAGGCGCTGTCACGGGGCGAGGAGAGCACTGAGCAGTTCCGACCGGCCGCTGTGACCCGCCGTGCACCACTGCGGGTCGGGGTGACCAGCGCGACCGCTCTCTCCGTCTGTCTGTCTACCGGTGCAGTACCGGACCTGTTTGTCGTCACCGCACCGGCCGCCGACCAGCTGCTCGAGCACCTGGCAGCACCGCCGCCGCCGCCGCCGCGACTGACACCGGGCCGCCCCGGGTACCGCCGCCGCCACCGCGCCACCGGAAAACGGTGCAATTACGGCGTGGGTTCGCTCCCAGTCCCACGTCCCCCTCGCGAAGAGGGGTGTAGCGAACGGGTTGAGGTCATCCCCGGCCGGGTCAGCTCGGCAGGGCTCACTGGGGACGGCGGCGGACCGGACGGGTCGGTTCGATCGGCGGACCGTGAGCTGGGTCAGCGAGCCGCAGTCGCTGCGGCACGTGATGTCCGCAGCGGACAGCAGCGGACAGCGGACATCTGATAGCCGGCCGGACACTGTCCCGGACTGCCCCCGCCCCGCCCCGCCCCGCCCCGCCCCGCCCCGCCGACAGCGGCCCGGTGCTCCATAGTCCATACGCTACCCCGGGCTGATGGGATCGCACTGTCCCAGTAACCAACAGGAGCGGACCTGCTGTGACCCAAGTCGAACAAGGGGTCACCAGCACGGGGCGGACTGTGTGCAGCATATGTGCAGCAGAGCAGAGAGAGAGACATGCTTTATGTCAAACGGAGCCCGGTATGTAGCAGAATGGCTCATGCTTCTCGGGTTAGCCCGAAGAGCTGCTCTCAGAGGAATCTGGCTCGTCAAGGATAGGACGCACTAAGTTTATTTGATGTCTTGCACGATGCATGGAAACCGAACTCCCCTGCTGATAAACTTCCGGCCGAATTCAGCGAGTTTGTTTATATCGTTTCGTTCTGCAGGATTCTGTCTATGGCGGCGCCACCCGGGCCAGTGGATGACAGCTATGTTGGTGGGTAGTGGAGCGTCACAGACCAAACGGCATTGCCTCTGCCCTCCATCTGTCAGCGGCAAACGGCATATATCGCGAGCTGTGGCAGCATGCCTAACGGTCGTCGGGCAATTTGGACGATACCGCGCCGCTGGGCTGACTCCCCAACGGCATTTGGCAGTCGCTCGGTCTCAGAGTCTAGGGACACGGCGTGGTGGTCCGCTGAAGATGTTCCCTGGCCCAGGGAGTTACAACCGTCGCGCGCTCACGACAGCGACCGTCGCAATAGGCGTCCATTGCTCTCCGACGGAACTAAATCAAGCCGTGACTGGCGCGCCGGGAGAAACCCGTGTTTACCCTCCATGGGGCCCACTCACAGTGCATGCCGACTCGACCTTTCCGAGTTACGGCGACCTCTGAGCCCACCTCTGACACTGGTTGCTCACAAGAAACCTGCCCCCTGCATGATCAGTCGTCATCTGACGGCCCTACGAAACGGCCGACTTCATTACCATGTCAAAAGCCGCGGTAGTAATACGGTGAATGGAGCACGCCGCGGATCCGATCTGCGCACCAGAATCACTGGCAACGACCGCCCGGTTATCCGTGGGGTACTGTCGGAACAGACACGATATAGCCTCTGCATGGCCCGCCGTGGCCGCCGGCGGTGATGGAAAGTGACGGAGGTCTGTGGCCGGCGCCGGACGGGATGGTCGGTGGCCCACCCGCTGCCCTGTGAGGCCAACCTCCGCGGTGACCGGCATGGACCCGTGTGACCGGACCGGACCGACCGCTCCGGCTGGCACCGCACGTCCGGTCCGGCGGTCAGGAGCGGTCAGCGGCGGTCCGGGTGGTCCCGACATCGGTCACTGGTCCCCGGTCGGACAACGGTGGCCGGGTCACCGGTAGTTCCGGTGGTTATACTCGTAAGAGCGGTCAAGTCTGGGTAGTGCAATGCTGTAATGAGCCCATCAGCTGTTAGCTCGACTGTACCCAGCTGCTATTACGACCAATCCGCTTTGAGTTAAACGCTATGCTTTTGTACTTATTCCATTTGTTTCTCTTTTGTATTTCTACCTCGATTACAAAGTTGAAAGTAACCGAGTTGAGCTTATGTCCCGACGGTAACTGAGGCTGCCAGTTGCTGACTCACGTATAACTAAGCCGGTAACTGATCCAGCCGGTAACTGATCCGAACAGCTGTCGTCTCAGCAATGTCCGGTAACTGGGACACCTCCATGTGGGACGGGCGGCACCGGCGCTTCACCCGCGTCCGGCGTGCGTGGCCCCCGTTTTTGCCAGACCTGATAGTGAAACAGTGCGTCGACAAAAAGCTGCTATCGTCGTGCCTAAATGCCGGCATTGTCGTGTCGTTCCCTCTTGCTGCGGCTTACTTCAGTTCCGTGGTTCATTCCGGATTCTCCCTCAGGTCGTTCCGTCTTTCCCTTATGTAGGTATGTGTTTCTACTCTTTCTACTGACACCTTGGAGCAGGCCTCCAATAGCAGATACCTAGCGAAATTTCTATAGTTGCCACAATACAATTAACTCGGGCCAGCCTCTTCTGCTCTTCAACTTTACGACATCAGAAACGAGGAAACGCAGCGCGAGCTATAGTAAGCATCAGAGTAACTAGGAAGAGACATTTCGTCATTTCTTCCGAGATCCCAGGGAAAATGTCCGTTTTCTCAATATAGCAAATTTACCGCCACATCTACATGGATGACAAGATAGTGTTCGCTAATCGGGCAGGCCAGCGGCCGGTGCTCTCGGTGATAAAATCAACCGGCTGCCTACCAGTTCGCGGCGGCGACGGGCCTCCGCGGCGCCTTTCACCTCAGTCCGATCCTACAGGACAATGGACGCAGCGAACTGGGTCGACGCGGGCCGCGCCACAGGACGGGCCGTCTCTCTGCAGAGGAGCCGACAGACTCCCGCGAGCCGCGTGGCGACGCCGCCGGCACCGGTGCGCCGTTGATTCCTCGGACGGTGTGAAGCCGACTTTTTCAGACGTCCGCCATAACTGGTTTCACGTCTGCAGTGGTCGATACACGTTGTGTGGTTTTTCTATCTGGCTGAGTAGGCCGCGGGAGCGGGTTGGCGGTGAGCGTGGGACGCGTTGCTGGGCGCTATACTGCTGGAATCGAGCGGCTATCTATATGGATGGATGTGAGGAGACAGTATCGAGATAGAGAGGACACGAACGGGTCAACGGGTCCGTGGAAATAGAGAAAGAGAGAGAGAGAGGGAGGGGGAGAGACGAATAGAGAAGGGAGAGAGAGAGAGCTGCACGCGGCCTCTGCTGTCCGGAGAAGTGGGTCGTTGGCTGCCCGCTCCGACCCAAGTTACCAGAGGAGATCTGTTGTTGCACACGATCAGCTGCAGCACGAACGTGCATATATTGGCGTCCACTCGGGGGAGCGGCGGAGGGGCGAATGGTGCGGGCCAAAGGCCGAACGGGGGGAGGAGGTGCTCTGTGCTCTGCGCTCAGTACTCTGTGCTTCGACTGAGGTGTGAGCTGGCCCCACTGTCTCAAGGGGCTGTAGTGAGGCATTTCCTTATAGCACTACGAACATGCTTTGTGATACCGCAGGCGAGCATCCGGCATGCAGTGTGTATGCTGGGATTATGCTTAGTATGACAGAGTGGTTCCTGTAGAACAGTCCATATAAGCGTCACATGTGTGTCCTGGAGGGTGTGATAACCGCGCCGGTAGTGTAATCATTTCCGCCATGATAAACACCTGCAGGTTACACGTCCAGGCTGCAAAGCTCCTTGAGTTGGGGACATGTTCGAACCCGTGTCCAGGAGGTGCGGGTCTAAACCTGCCGTCCCCGAGCGGTCCAAAACAACCCCATAGAGAGGGTTGACAGGGACGACCGCAACCGCGGAGCGAGTCCGAACGTGACGCCGTGTTTTGAACTCAAAACATCACCTCCCACGCATCTGATGGGTGTTTCCAAATCAGACCACAGCGGCCCCGGACCTGTCTTCGGATACGGGTGCAAACCAGTCCGGCAGTGGGCATTAATGATGCAAATTTCACGCCCACGGAGCGAGCGCTGAACTCAGATTTAGATTCGACAAGGCTGATTATGGGTTTGAGCTCCGGCAAACTGGGATAATGCCGGGCTCAGTAAAGACGCCGTTCATTTAACCCTCGCCGGCCGAGGGGGGGGGGCGGGTGCCGCCCCCCCCCCATAGGGTTTTTTCGCGATAGCTCCGAACACGCTGGCGATAGAGAGCTGAAACTTGGCATACCTGACCTTTGATCCAAGCCGGATCTTTTGACACCAACCGCATTTCTGGGTCAGGTCAGGTCACTGACCTATGACGTCATAAGTGAACCTCTGCACGGTCTTCAGATGTCGCAACTTCGCAACGCCCTCACTGCCAGAGGAGATGTCACAGGGAAATGAAACTTGCAGGATCTAGTATCCATTATGAGTCCCACAACTTGTATATCTCGGATTTTTCCTAAAGGTCATATGAGGTCAGGTCATTTTCGTGACCTCACCATTATAAGTCAATGGGGAAAAATTCAAACTGCTATTCTGGCGCCGGGAACGATCGCCAACTATCTCAAGCACACAGAATCGTGATTTGATGCACTCCTTGCAAGGTTAGATGCGTCACTTTTGCAATGTTGACCTTGCGTGACGTCATTTATGACGTCATCAAGGTCAAATTAGTTTTTCGTCAATAACTCTTGATCAAATTGAGCTAGCGAGTCGGGAAAGGCACCAATGGACTCAGGAAAGCCTGCCGAATCGAATGATATGCGACATGACCTCTTTCGACCAACTTCGTGACCTGGGGGTGCTGACCTGACCTTGACCTGAGGTCAACACCCCAAGTTGACCTGACCCGGACAAAAAGTATATCATTCGACGCGCCTGAGCGAGGCGAACACGATGCTGCCAAAATCGGCGCTCTGCGGCCGTTTTTTGCGAAGTTATTCACCAAAAACTGAACCGTACCCTGGGGCACTTGACCTGACCTCAGAGGTCACCGGTTGACATAGGACCTTAAAATCGGGTACCAATCTCTGCGTCTCGTAACGGCGCACACGCTCGTTTTTTCCGCGACGCGCTAGCTCCACCAGGGGCGAAACGGCGAGGGGGGGTCGTACCCGCCCCCCCCCCCCCTCGGCCGGCGCGTATGTAGAAAACCAATAGGTCCGGCGAGGGTTAATAAAATGGATAGGTACCATATTCGTCCCGTCGGATAAATAGCTCATCAGTGAATCC